ATGAAAAAATTCAAGAAGAATATCACTGGAGCAAATCAAATGAGAAATCAAGGGAGATAATACTAGTTCTTCTGATATTCGTAATTTAGCTATATTATATGCCTATAGTTAACTACATATGCCTATAGTTCTTGTTCTGTTTCAAATAAAAATATTTTTAATGGCAAAGTGTATGATTAACAGATTGAGGCTACCAATTGCATTTTTATCCCAAATATTGGCTGTGGAGTATGGAACAGTTTTACTTTGCTACATTAATAGAATAGTAAAAGAACAGAACTGAGCTATGTAAAATGAAGCTCACAGTAACAGTGAGAAAGTGATTATTACAGAAAAAAAAACCAGCTGTACATTTTTCCAGTAATTTTTCAGCTCATGCTGTGTCACAACTAACATGCCAAGAAAGCCACAACCGATTATACCCTCTATAGCTTTTTATGCAAATGAAGTTAACATTAGTTATACAAATGAGACTAAAAAACTATTCTTATTAACATATTTAAATACTGCCAAAAAGAAAACATTTCATGAAACAACATAAATATTGTATAAGATCATAATTCATTAAAACATATATACATTCTTTTCACAACAGGAAAATGCTTGGATTAAATAATACTTGGCAACTGTACTCCCAAGCTTAATTTGAGTAAAACTGAAAAAAAAATCCCTGGATCAAGGTTAAATTACTTAGAGGATATACATATATTACCTCTAATTTAGAAAAGTGATGGGAGAATATTTTGGCTGGAAGGATAGCCAGAGGGAAAATGGCTATATATCTGGCTAGCATGTTTTGTTATTCTTCTGATTAAGTTCATAACCTCTTGATGCTTTTCATGAAAAATGAATAAGCGTGTGTGCAATTCCCCATATAATTTTGAGTCAGATTGCCAGGATTGATACTAGCAAGATAAGTACTAAGTATAATAATAACTTCCAATAGGACATAAGGTTATATCTCACTTTTCTTGCTGGAAGTGATATTTACCGAATCTAAATAACCATAAAATGTTTCTTAAAATGAATGAAATCCCAACTGATTATCTGATTCTGTTTATTCACCATCTGGGAACTATTTGCAATTGAAAACATTTTAAAAGTTTCTCTCATATTACACAAATTCTACCACAGAAATGCCAACAATAACCCTCCTTCCTACTCCCATAAAACATTTTGTAAATACCGTATAATCCTGGCTGGGCAACAAACCCCCAAATTTCTAAGACCAGGAAATCTGTAGATCATTAAAATAGTTGTTTGTTTGGATTTTACCACTGAAACAAAGCCCAGATTCGAAAAATTAATAGATGCACAAGCAGAGGTCACTGAAATGTAAATTGATGCAAATGTTTGTGAATTTAAATCCAAGAAAAGTTGTATTACCTATGCCAAAATCTCATCTCATCCAACATTTTATTAATTGGCTTTGAAGATGAAGTTTGGTTTTTCAAATGCTCACGAGAATTAACCCAGAGAAAGTTAATGCTGAGATGACCTTAAGTAATTTTATTGAATGAATACAACTTATTCAATATTGAAAAGTAGAAAATGTAATTGCAATTACATGGAATTGTTAATTGTATGAAATATGGTATGATACTCTCACTTAGTCATGATCTTTTGCCACCATTAGTTTAAATATCACAAGAGGAGTGAAAGTGCTTAATATTCTCTAAACATTACATAAAATGAACTATGTAATAGAGAATTTATGCAATAAATCATGATATAGAATAGTGATGGTCAACAGTAACCCTTGCTCTTTATAAGCCTCACTTACACAAACTGAGACATTCCTCTAACTATTTGCCAAGTGAGTCTCCATGTTTTAGGTAGTCTATTACTGAGCAGGCTGGTGTTGAGCCAAGGTTTTTTAGCATCCTATGCCAGCATATCTCCCTCATGGGCAATCCAGAATACACAGGAGACTTTGGCAGATTGCTGAGTTTCAGTGGTTCAGCAGGTCTGCTATAAGGTTATGTTCTATGTTCATTGTGTTGTGACTGGCAAAGGCTGGAGGCATCTCTTTGTATACCTATTTCTTTCTTTCTGGTGTGTATGTGTATGTGTGTGTGTGTATGTTCAGAGCTGGGAATCCTGATCTCATGTAGCATGTGTTACAGAAAGTTGGAGTAGAGTAGAGTAGAGTAGAGTAGAATAGGGTAGGGTAGGGTAGGGTAGGGTAGGGTAGGATAGGATAGGATAGGATAGGATAGGATAGGATAGGATAGGATAGGATAGGATAGGATAGGATTCTTTATTGGCCAAGTGTGATTGGCACACAAGGAATTTGTCTCCGATGCATAAGCTTTCAGTGTACATACAAACAACAACGTAATATAAGATACCAATAGGAGAAGGTAATACAAAAAATAAGAAGGATAATAGTAATACAGCCATACTACATAGGTAAATATCAGACATAAGACAGTACTGTGATAATTAGGTGTTCCTCAGAGTGGTGGCACGAGGGAATATTCCCATTCTTGCACAAAACTTGTGATTTGCTAAACTTAAAGAAGTACTGGATTCAGAGTCTCAATCTTCAATAAGTGATTTGCATAGCTGCGTATTTCCCACTATCCCTGAAAATATTCCAGGTGACTTCAGATAAAGGGAAAGAGAACACTTGATTCTTCCAGCTCCAGGGGCCACACACTCAGGACACTGATAGGCAGATCATTTTCCTGCTGTTATATGATATGGAGATGGAAGGATGGTCTAGATTCTTTAATCATTGCTCACAATACTAGTGTTTGGGTGGGTAGCAACACTGGTCTGTCCTGTTTCTGAGGGCTTTATCTACCGATGTACTTTCCTTCAATGGAAGGACTGAAAGAAGAGTCCCTAGTACATAACTCAAAATTTCTCTGGATTCCATTGCATATTCTCCCAAGTGAAGAATTCAAAAAACTGGGAGACATATTTTCCTTAATACCCACACATTTCCCTATGATTAAGTCTTGATTCATTACTTTGGCCATACTGTATTTGTTATGTACTCTGGTCTGTTACAATTAGCCAATGATGATGAGGAGGTTCATTGGGTAGTATCAATATAGAGTTCTTGTTGTTCTCTGAACTTGGTTGTTTTCTTGCAGATGTTTCATTACCAGGGTAGGTAGCATCATCAGATCAAGAGAGATTCAGTTTGCTAGCTATTTACTGTATATATAGTAGCTTAGTGGAGATATTCCTTAATGGTCCTTTCATTAGGATATTATTTTCTTTCCTTGATTGCTTAGCTAGTACTGTTTTCCAGTATACCACTCTACCGTTCACTGATAATCTAGCTTGGGGAAAAATGTCTGCGAGAAAACGACCAAAATAGAGAACACCAAGAATCCAAAATTCCAACTCTGAGCTACATATATCTTTTTCTATTAACAAGACATATCCCAAGTATAATTTCATCATGAAATGTGCTGAGTTATGGCACAAATGAAAAATTCTCCACTTTTACATAACCCACATTATAGATACAGTATATCTTAAGAAAAGAAAGGTTGCCAATATATAAACTATAGTCTTTCCAACATCCTCCATTTGTGTTAGTAATTGTCAGCTAGCATCTGAAGAATATGAAGTTAGGGAAGGCTATTCTAATTTATGGAAAATGTAATATGACAAAATACAACTTCAAATATTACTATCACAATATATCATCATCATCATCATCATCATCATCATCATCATCATCATCATTCATTTCAACATTTAGCATATAAACCAACCAAGACAAAGCTAAGGTTTCTGTAATATTTACAATGTTTAAAGGTAAGTAATTCCAAAATGCTACATATTTAACCTTACAATTAAAATATTTAAGAACAATTATTGCTTCCATATTAAGCAGCAAAAACCATATGATTGAGTTAGAATTGGTTTGTTTAGATCAAGATGTGGCAATCACAATGCAAACAGCCTGCATGTATATTCCTATAAACATACAATAGTTACTCCATGAATTAAATACTTGTGAGCAGACATAGCGAAACAGACTCTTTGGGTTACTGGAATGGTTAGCAATAAGTATTAAGATGTAAGATTGCAGCCTCATTAAACATGCTTCTCATTAATTTAATTCCTATTTTTCAAAAATCCTAATGAAGAATTTTAGTTTAGTTTATCTGTTAGTTTGCACTGTGCTATTATATGTAAAATATCAGTAATAAGAAAACCACATTTGTGAATTTTGGAACAAAGAAAGATTTTATTCACATGTGTAACAACTCTCATGTTACTTCTATGTGTGCTGATGAAATTACAAGGATAGTGAAAAAAATCTACTCATTTTTCTAAACCCACTAATTGGGTTTAGAAGCTTGTAAATATTATAATCTATGCAACAAAATGAATGTGTATATTTATTTTCACTGAATCCCCAATCCCCAAAATAAAAATACTGTATCAACCCAAGGAAAATAATTTCGCCTCTTTGTTCTATATTAAACTGTCAGTTAAACATAATCTCTAAGAAAGGAACCCAGTATTAGGAATTTATTATTGGAATGGGATGGTGGTAATTTATTGCTTATTACTGGTGATCCCTGAGTCAAGACCAGATGGCCACCATCTTCCTGACACCTTCTTCAATGTCTCTGCTATTATGGATAGTAGAAGACATCTGTGAAAACTAATCGACAACTTGGCAGAAGAAGCAAAAAAAAAAAAAAAGTGCTCAAAAGCAAGTTGTTTGGATAAGTCTTAAGGAAATTTACTTACCCTGGGTATGTGAAAATATCTTAAAGGCAAACTAATCTATCAGTTGCATGGAAGTGCAAGAGATCAAGGCAAGCCATAGTCAACCATGAGGCAAAGCAGATACATTGCAGACTCATAGTTTTCAATCTCCTGGAAGAAGTCTCTTGAACAAAACACTTGTCTTGACAGTCTTAAAAGCATCTTATTATACTTAACAAAAGCATGACAGATTTAAAGAATAAATGTTTTACAGAATTATTTATTATACATAAAAATGGATAAACTTTACTCACTGGTCTTTCATGTTCAAGGATTGAAGACTTTCCTGGTTCATATTCAAAAATGCTTCTTGGTTCTGAACGGAATTTGCGGGTATCTACTTTTCTATCGGGAGGCTCCCACTCATTTCTAAAAATAAAAATAAATTGACAACTGATCTAACATCCAATGCGTGCATCACAGAGTTTTCTAAGAACAAATTAATGGATTTTTAACAAAAATAAAATTTGTCTATGATAATAAAGGAGTGAGATGGAGTGGTGATGAATAAAGTTTTCTGGTAGCTAGGGGTTCTGCACATGTGGTAGTAGGCAATGACCATCTGTTTCTAAAATTGGGCAGTAAGGACAAGCTGAGGGTTTATCACCCTCATGCTGCTTGTCATAAACCCTTGCTGGGCTCCTAAAATAGCCCTGATACCTCCAATTTATAGAATAAGGGGGTTTCAAATTCTTTATATTATGTTTGGCTCTGAGTAGAGTTCAGGGGTTCCTGGCCTTCCTGACCTTCATGGCAATCATGGGGATGTCCTGAGTGATCTGTGTCTCAATGAACATAGATAGTTACCCATTACAACTATCCTTCTTTTACACAAGTTGTATCGTGATTGAATTGCATCATGAATGGAAGACATAGTTCATTTTTTTTTTCTGCAGTCAGATCATTTCCCGATCATGCAGATGGAAAGGCCCATTAAATTTGTATGCTCTGGTGTCTTCTGGATCCAAATGGATTCCAGCAGGTGATGGAGATTGCCATAGCCTTCTTAGACAACTCATTTGAATCCTTGGTTTAGCTCTGGAATATAAAGATGACAGGGATGCTAGGCCAATTATTCCCAAGTAGCTTCTCATTGTAAATCTTGAGTTGCTCTGGGAAATGAAGTAGCAGAATAAATATCTAGAGTACTAGTAGTCAAAGGTTAGAAGTGAATATCTTTATGATGACATAATGATGCCAGTTCTTTCTTTGTCATGCTCTTTGTTTTGGCACACAATGCCCCAACAATCTTGATTATGAAGAACTGCTCCCTTCTTTAAGGATTGGCCAAACCTCCCTATAGGCTATTATGAGGATTTGGGGGGATTGGTGTGATAATAGTATTTGTAATATTGGTGAATGATATGAGAGCCATCACATATATACATAATACTGAACTGAGGGCTCTCCATTGGTTACCAATAGGCTTCTGAGAACAATTCAAATACTGGTATTGACCTTAAAAATTCTCCATGACTTAGCTACTGGATATGTATAGGATCACCTATTTTAAGTAGACCCCATCTTCCAGTTTGGTAATCTTGGGTAGGGATGCTAAAGGTTCTTCCCCCATGTAAGATCCAGAAAATGTTATTTTTTATCAGTGGAATAAGATGCTAATCTGAAATCCTGATGGCTCACTACTACCAAATTTTAGAAAAGTCTTTAAAACAGAATTGTTCAGAAGAGCATTCATTTAAGACATATAATTAATGTACCATACATTTTGTAATAACGATTAATAATAGAGCTATGTAGTTTTAAATAAGATTATTTCTGTTTTACACTATTTCTATATTACTATTATATTTATTGTTGTTAATTATAAAGCACCATGGTTGCACTGGAAATTGGCAATATATAAAAAAGTCAGTCGTCAGTCAGTCAGAGAGACAACCAACCAACCAACCAACCAACCAACCGCTTTCATGAAAAGTCATGCTGTATCCCTGAATGCAAAACAAAACACTGACATAATAGCTCTCACACTAGTATTAAATCTGCCACTTCTGGATTAATTGCTAATACATAGCTTACTTTTCTGGGGCAGATCTTTGCCAAGGACGAACAGGTGGTACTGGAGGTGGTGGAGGTGAAGAGACTTTAAAGGCTTCAGTGCCATTGTCAGAAGTACTTTTTGTCAGTGGCCTGTATGTCTGAGTCTTTGCAACAGGATGTGCTTGAGCAGAAAATGATGGACTGAAGTTACCTAGTCAAAGATAAAGCAAAATCACAAAGGATCTAAATATTAGTACTAGACAGATAGATAGACACATGCACACACACCACAAACACACACAGCAGTGTGGTGTAGGATTAAGGAATGGGTAGACCAGGATGTAGTTCTCCCTTAGGCATAGAAGCTGAGTGGGAGAATTTGGGTCAGTCACTCTCTTTCTCAGCTTTAGACTGAATACATGAAAGACATCTGCCTAGCAACTCTTACAGGACCACTCTTTTATATTATGGTCCATAACCTTCAATGAAGATGCCTTTATCCTGAAGTGGATTGATTCAACCTAATAAACACATACACACATGCACACATTATCCATTCAAACATGGATTGAGTAAAAGGAGCCTTCCTACTGTCCCCTGAAATTCCATGGCTGAATAAAAGGAAGTATATTGTATTATTCAACACTAATTTTGGATAGAAGCTAGTGGCCTTAATTCAGATTTCTTCTGCCATTTTGGTATAAAATGTGACTCTCCCGGATAATGTTGATTGTTCATTTAGTAGGAAAATAAAGTTGCCTATATTTTTTCATCCTTTGAAATAAGTGATTTATAACTTATAGTGCTCTCTCTTGAGCATCACAAACCATGAAGACTAAGAGTATTAATACATGCATACTCTGTTGCTGGGGGTCATAAAATTGCCCTTCTGTATCATCCTGAAACTCTATGATTCGACCGGGAAGATCGAGCCATTTGTCCAGTATTTTTCTACATAGAGATCTCTCTTATTGAATCAGGATTAGTGTAGGACTTGTAGAGCAAGTCTTACATTATAGGTGAGCAAGAACATATGCTGTTGTGTCTATAACTTTTTCCCCTTTCTGTAGTTTAAAGATAGTTTGTTAAGAACAAAGAACAGGAAAAACCAAATGCACTGATGAAAAATGAAACTTGTTGGAGTTACGAGATCAAATGAAATAATTAATGAAGGTCTCTAAGCTTAGATTGGCTCTGGACCATTGCTCAAAACTCAAAAAGACACAAACTGATGTACATTTATGTATTTGCTTGTAAAGCCATGCCTTATTAATATTGTTAAAAGATAAAGCCTTTCTTGTTAGTAATAATTATTAATTTAAAATATTATTCAGGAATATTACATTGGATGAAAATCTCTTTTTTGTGCAAACAAATACAACATGCAGCATAAAGTTAAAGCTGAAACGACATTTAAAATATAGGCTATGCCCTGTGGTAAAATGCATTTTGCATCCTTCTGAATCTAGGAATAACATTCACATTTCAAGTAGGCTTCCTGTTATTCATAGGAAACTTAAAATATTGTCACAATTTTTCTAATGTATTCTTACCATATTGTTCATGCCAGTGAAATGGATGGATCTATTTATGATAGATTCAATTTTTTTTTAGGATACAGATTTTGTTTTGGAATCTGATGAAAATTAGAGCTTTCAATGCTCATGCTCTTCTTCAAAGTGGGGCAGAATCAAATGCCTTTCTGGGTTGTGAACATCCTTTATGTTGTGCATAGAAACAAAGCAGTACCTTACAATGCTGCTACCTTGAATGCAAGATATTATGGAAAAGTTGTTGGAGGTACCATGCTTTCAGACTCTGCTGTAATGAATTATCTTACAATGTTACTGTGCATTCAAGTGTTCTCCACTCTAACATAAAAGTTGTCCAACCAATACAAATAAAAATTAATAATACATATTAGATTATTTATGAAAAGAACCATTAATTGTTGATATATGGAAAATAATGAAACAAAAATCAAATATAGAGATTAAATAGATAAAACCAGTTATGGAGGCAGAATAAAGTGTGCTCCAGTGGGGTTAGAAATTGTTAGAAGTTGCTGGCACTAAAAAGAAAAGACCCATGTGAAAGGAAGGAATAATTCCTACCAGTATTATATGAATATGAAGTATTATACATGTCAGTGTCATCATCTACAAAAAGAAAGACAAATGTTATAGCAGTGAAATACCTGTCCATTTATCCACAGCAAGGCAGTTTTAAACTCTCTCCCTTGATAAATGTTTACTATTTGTGGTGTTATTATACAGTTTATTCGTGTGTTATAACACTAGACTTGTACTCACTCAGAATTCAAATTAAGATGCCACAAATAAACTCTAACAAATATGCAGAAAGAAGCTTTAATTTCTTTCCATTATTGAAGCAGCTAAAGTGATTTGTTGCCTTGGTAAACAATAGCAATGGGAATCACGCCTTGCTAATTCCAATGAATGCAAATGAAAATTTGCTTTGTTGGGTCTCTTCAGTACACTCATATTAAGCCCTTCACTCTCTTCTTCTTGAAAAGACCCCTAAGTAGGGGGTTTTCTTTAACTGGAAAAAATAGAGAACTGTGTTTAAGAGACTTACTGGATTAAAGATGCAGTACATAGACATTAAATATCATGGCGCCTGGATCTCTAAGAGAGTCTCAAATAATTTCTATTGTCTGATTCAGGCAGCGAAGGAGTTACTAAGAGTTCCCATCTCCTTATTGTGCAGAAGGAGAGGACCTAGTTGAAGGTATGAGAACTCCCTGTTATGGGATAGCCTGTTCCTAAGGCAAGAATAGTCCTAACTCTGTGGTTTCCCAGAAACTGTCTCTTCCAGAGGCCTTTGAGAATTGTTTATTGTTCATTGGTGCCTATATTGATCCAGTCTATAGAACAATTAGTTCTACACTCTTTTCAATGTCGTAAGACATCCAGAGTTGTGCAGGAGCAGGCAGCCATGAAAATGAAAATTATAATAATACTAATAAAAATAAAGGATCAAACACAAATAAAAATGGGAAATGTTATTTATGGTTGTAGTTATTATTACAATTAATTATTGGGTATAGCGTTTCTTTTTTACGTTTTTATTAGCTATAATAATCAGCCTAACATTCCTCTGGATTGAGTTGGGATGACTCACAACAATAAATAAACAATAAAAAGAAGCATCTATAAAAAATTCTAATCTGTTAGCAAGGCTACAAAAAAGGAAGAAAAAAGTAGAAATTATACATACCGGGTTTATGAACCATATGGATTTGCTTAAACATTGTCTTATACCAATCCTTTGGCCTGTCAACAGTCTAAAAAGAAATTAAATTTTAAACAATTAGCAGATAATCAGTACAAAAGCCAGACTGCTAACAAAGTAGGAAACCATTTATTTATTTAATTATTACACGGATTTATATCGCCGCCCAACTCACACATACTGTAGGTGATTCATGGCATCTTACCAAATTTAAAAACCCACCATATAATAAATACCCATAAAATATCTCACCCACCAAGTCAGCAACCACACAGTCAAATCAACCACTTTATTGGCTTCATCTTCATTTCTGGTCCTCAGGCTCACTGACAAAATCACATTTTTGGGGCTTTTAGGAAAAGCAACACAGTAGCAATCAACTATACCTTGGGGGAAATGATGTTCCATAAAGAAGGGGCCACCACTGAGAAGGCCCTTTTTTTGGTCCCACCAGACACATATCCCTAACTGATGGAATGTATAACATGCCCTGCCTTCCTATCCTGGAGGGCCAGGTGGAGGTTTTAGAGGAGAGGTGATCCTTCAAATAGCCTGGTCCCAAGTCATGTAGGGCTTTAAAGGCATGCTGAATTGTAGCCAGAAGCAGATTGGCAGCCAGTGCAGCTGCCGCAGAAGAGGTGACACATGTGCAAGTCTAGGATTGTGCAAAAGTATTTGAGCTTAATTCTGAATTAACTGAAGCTTCCAAATACTCTTCAAGGGCAGCCCCATACAGAGCATATTACAGTAGTCCAGACATGAGCTAAGTGGGCGATTAATTAAAAACATAAGCAAAGTGGTTCATTTAGAATCTTAATGAGTCCCCCTAAATAGTTGGCATGTTTTGCTTAGTTTAGTTTTAGTTTAGAGTTAAAATGATGCAATATACTGATTATACACAAAATAAAAATATGGTGGGAAAAAAATTGTGGTCAGATAAAATAAATAAGGTGTCAGTATCTATCATCAGATTCCATAAATCTGAAGACCATTACTCTCATTAGGAGTTAATCTTATTCACTAATGCATGGAACTGAATTACATTCAACTAGATTCAAATTGTTAGGCATATTTCTTGTAATAAAAGACTAGATGCTACTGTTATATTATCAGAGAGTAGTAACATAAAGAAAAAGAACAAGTACCATTTGAGAGTCTAGCACAATATATATGTGACATTGAATGCTGATGATTAATCTGAAATGGTACCGTTAACAGAAGCATTTTATTCTCACTAGAGTTTTTCTTCTTTGCCTACATTTTTCTGATAAAAGTCTATAATCAAGTAATCTTTTGTCAAAGTAGGAGCCTAATTTTCGTTGGCCAAAAACCCATTAAAAAAAAACTTAGAAAAGCTAGCTATAATATTTCAACATTACTTACTTCAAAAAAATCCAGATAGACCAAGTTTACTTATTCACAAATAAATTATAGATTTATTTGTCATCCAGATTATCGGATGGCTGACAATGAAGCCAATTGACTGAATTATATGATTAAAACACATACAGGTAGTCTTCGACATACAACAATTGATCCCAGAATTTATGTTGCTAAGTGAAAAATTTGTTAAGTGAGATTTGCCCCATTTTATGACTTTTCTTGCCATATTTGTTAAGTGAATCACTGCAGTTGTTAAATTAGTAACACAGTTGTTAAGTGAATCTGCCTTCCCCATTGACTTTGCTTGTCAGGAGGTTGCAAAAGGGTATCATGTGACCCCAGGGCACTGCAACCGTCATAAATATGAACCAATTGTCAAGCATCCAAATGTAAATCACATGGCGATTCTGCAATGGTCATAAGTGTGAAAAACGGTCACAAGTCACTTTTTTTTAGTGATGTTGTATGGACACTAAATAAATTGTTGTAACTATAACTGTTGTAAGTCTACCAACTGTGCAGACAATGTGGACAAAATCCTTTTCTCAAGAAAAATCTAGTTCAAGCAAGTATCTTTTATTCTTTTTCGGAATTAGGCAGACCCAACATTTGCATTACAAAAAAACTATCCATTAAAACTGGATAGTTTATAGAATGTATTAAAATTCTAGTAATCAAATGTTGAAATTTTATATAAGACAAGAAGCTAAGTTATATATAGATTTAACTTTATTTTATTCTATTGAATCCAATATAGATAGAAATGGTTTTTAGTCCAAGATGTACAGAAACAGGGAAGTGGTAGGGAACATAAATCCAGAGACATGCCAGCAATACTGCTTTTTAAACTTATACAGTAGTAAGAAAAATATATTATTGCTGTGGATGGTCTCCACAGTTTGAGCAACACCTAATTTTCTCCTAAACAGAGCGCATAACGTGCAACAATACACATGGGTTTTTCATATTTTCTATATGGACATTAGTGTCATGGCCACGTCGGAGCCTGGGTCCAAGGAGGAGGACAAGACGGACCCAGGGCCAACAGAGGAGGATGGTGTAGCCTCACTGGCCCGGAAGAACGACCGAGAAACAGGACGAGCAATCCTGGGTCCCTCGGGCCTTGAAGAGTTGCCAGTGATGGAGAGAGGGCACAGAACAACCGAGCGAGGGGGAAGGAGAGAGAATGAGTAGGCAGTGGAGCAGAGGAGCTATGGAGAACAATTTTGTATTTGTATCCATCTCATGTATTCATAATTATGTCTATACATTAGATCTGTTATCTAATACTTGCTTGACGAAATAAATAAAATAAATAAATAACCCCCCCTCCTCGAGCACGGAGAATGGAGAGGAGATGGGATCAGCACAGGGCGAACAGATGACTTGGGAGGAGGGCGCCCCACCCGTGACAAGGCTAACCTGGGGAATAAGATTTAAAGAGACACCATGGGGAGGGGTGCTTGTAGGAACAAGCGTTGCCTTTTTCTAGCTTCACTTGCAGTTACCGATATCTTGCCACTTTGCCTAGCTTTGTTTTGCCTGAGTTTGATTTGCCTTGCTTTGCTTAGCCTGGTCGTGGGCAAGTAGTCAGTGACACAGCTCTGCTTTGGGTTGTGCTGCAGTCTCAGTGACCCTTTGTGCTACGAAGACTCCCTGGAACCAAGTTTCCTGAACTCTGTCTGCTCTCAGAACTGGCTGCTCCTCTGGACTCACAGCAGCCAGGAACTAGTGGAGGTGCATGTGTGCGCTTGGAGCGTTGTTCTTGGACTTACAATGAACTGTGGGAACTTTGGGGGGAAAGTTGGACCAATAAAAGGGAGTTAAGCCTTCACTCTGGCTGTTTTGCTTTTGTGCCCAGCCCAGGGTCATCACAATTATTTTCCACACAGGTGATTAAATTGCGAGCCAGTTCTTTAAAATTATGGCTATAAAAGTAATCCAAAGGATTGGCCCAGGGGTGAAGTGCTCCTGGTTTGGACTGGATCGCCCGATCTGGTAGCGATGGAAGTGGGTGGTTCGGAGAACCGGTAGCAAAAATCCCTGACCCCCCCATGCCCCGCTGAGCCGCGCAATCATTAGAGGCTTTTTAAAAATTATTTTTAAAACCATTTTTTCTACAACCTCTTCGGCCGAAAAAATGCTTTTAAAAGTAAAAAAAAAAAAGCTTCTGATGATCGCACGGCTCAGCTGGGATCGTAAGAGGCTTTTTTTCTTTTAAAAAGCCTCTGACAATCCCAGCTGAGTTGTCTGATCGGCAGAGGCTTTTAAAAGCATTTTTTTACAACCTCTATGGCCAAAGAGGTTGTAGAAAAAATGGTTTTAAAAGTTGAAAAAAAAAAAAAAGTTGGCCACGCTCACCCAGTCACATTACCCCACCAAGCCACGCCCACAGAACTGGTAGTAACAAATTTTACATTTCACCACTGGATTGGTCCATCATTTCTTATCCAGCTCCTTTCTACTGTGCTTCCTCAGTGGGGAAATTCCCAGGCAGGATTTTGGAAGTGGGAAGGCCTACCATAATGCTAGAGAAAGACATTCCTCTATATTCCCAGAAAGACATCTTCTCATCTGCAAGGGATGTGGTGGCTCTGTAGTTAGAATGGAGGCTTTACGATCAGCAAGCCTGAGTTTGAGACCAAGGTACTGCATGGAGGGGTGAGTTCCCCCTATTCATTCCAGCTCCTGCCCACCTAGCAGTTTGAAAGCATGTAAAAAGCGAGAGTAGATAAATAGGTACCACTTTGATGGGAACCCACATGGAGACAGAAGAGGGGAGTCCCCAGTGAGCATCCTCAGGTAAGGGTGACATCACCAGCTAATACCTCTCAACCTCGGCTGCCAAATATCTACTCTCTTCGAAGCTGTAGACTTCTGGCTTTCTGTACATCACCATACGCTAAATAATAATCTCATCCACCTGCCCTCCTGCAAGACAGGAGAAAGAACTGGTGCTTAACAAGTACTTATCAGGCTTTGGTTACCAAGCAGATTATATGCCTGCATAATCTTACTTTCTTTGGGCAAGAGAAACGCAATAATCACACCTGCCTAGAACACAAACAAACATTTCTAGGAAAGCATATATTGAAACCAGATTAACAGATTAACAAATTAACAGAGTTAGAAGGGACCTTGTGAGTCATCTAGTCCAACCGTCCGCCCAAGCAGAAGACCTTACATCATTTCTGACAAATGGCAGAAACAAACTATATCCACATTCTTATTATTTAATGCCCATAATTTTCTTGAAAGTGTATCAGTTTTTCTTTGAACGTTCGTCAGGGCGAGGCAAAATTACAACAAACAAGAGCAAAACAACAAAAGGCTGGTGCTAGCAAGTGTAGTTTTAAGAAAACACACTTTGTAAAGTATTGTGTTTGGAAACAAACCCATATCTTCTCTTAAACACATGCTAATACATGGTTAATCATGGTTAAAAAAGTGTAACTGTCCAAAATATTGGATGGTGAAATTCAGAGTTTCATTGGATAGATCATTTGATTAATAAAAACAAGTAAACAAATGCAAAACCATGTACAAGTAGCGTGATACAACATTATCTTGTAATATGATGTAAATATGCCACATCTATGCCTCTATATTCTTCCTAGGAACAGATTAATCATCGCACATAATGAAAAACATACAGGGCATAATTTGATTAAATAGAAATCATGCATGCATCTGTTCTATACACTTTACTATTAGCTGTTCTATATATCTCACTATTTGACACTGTGCTTTGAAAATGCAATCTAGTATTTTTATTTACAAAAGCTTCTACATCTGAAATGATTTATTCATACATTCTACACTAATTCTACATTTTTACTATGTAATAAGAAATATAGAAATTATATTACAATAACTATATTTATATACATAAACTAGCTTCTATTGTACTCAGGATATATTTTAATATTTACACTGTTTTGGACCCCAAAAATACAGAAATAAAATTATAAAAAGTCTATATATGAAAAATTCAAAGGGCCAATGTTTTCTATAGCTAGCATGTTGGAATCTGTATTTTCCAAAACAATGTCCAAGATATAATAGATATTCTCATACTTTGTAGTACTTTCAGTGGGCAATTATTAACAAGTCAATAAGACAATTCTTACATTGGATTATTTTAAGTAGGATTTAATATAACTGCTAAAATTATTCAACCTATAATATTTTATTTCCATCCTCCAGAGGCTAATAGGGTGCTGGGCTGCTTAAACTCTTGGAAAGTGATCAGAATTCCTAAATGGGTAGACATTACATCTTACAAAAATATCTTTCCAAACCCTTGTCTGAAAGATACTTTTGTTCAGCAAAGGGCACAATATACAGTAGTCAACTCTGCTACAGTATTAAAACTTCCCTTTTTTGCAGCTAACTTTTACTTGATGAAGCCAAAACTTTTAATTTCATACTTTATTGCAGAAGTCAACATGCTTAAAATGTGGCTTCTTTTCATTTAGTGTTCCGTCTTTGGGTAAAGATACCAAAGAATAAATATGCATGATTATGAAGTGCACAGAAGTGTACCATACTATGTTTGTTCACATGAAATGAACAGATAAATTACTTTAGGCATTAAAATTATTGGAAAGCCTAGGCCAAGACTGTTGAGACTCTCTAAGCTTTGCTTTTATCCACTAACTCTACTTTGAAAAACACAAGGGTAACTGTAGCTGTTAAAATCAGTAGATGAATAAGAAGTTGAAACAAATGCCATTATTTCAAATGTAATAGGTTTAATTCTTTATTAACTGTGTAGTATTTAGGACTTATAAGTTTTCTTATCGCTGGTACTTCCAGTGATAATGAGTCACATACAGTTGGGAGGAATCATGAAACTATTTCAGTGCCAGACATCAATATCCTAAGCATCCTCAGATATAATTTTCTTTTATACCAAACCTGGAATCTGAGAATCTTGGAATGAATGAAGAAAGGCTACCCTGGTTAGCTGGAAGGCATAGTCATTGCAGTAACTAGCAAAAACAACTTCCATGTCAATTAAGGGCCACTTTCAAAGTTACTTTTAAAATAGCAAAAAGCACTTTGTCATTCTATGAGTCATCGAGGCTCAATGATGAAAAGTATATTAATTTCCCAGCAAAGGAGAGTATTTATCATAACTGAGCTTGAACAGAATACTGCATCATATTTAATGAAAGGGTCACATAGAACATTTGATTTTAAAATGATACGCTTCTATTTTCTTCTATTTTTGAGTGCAATGGAACAACTCCCAGGTTCGTTTAGAGTGCAGCAGTTATCCATTAGCTTAGCTATTTACTTATACATTTTATCAATCCACCTTTCTTCTACCAAGCTGCACTTGGAGATGGATGTAGTTCCCTAAAATAAATTTTAAAATGATAAATACATTAAACTTTGTTTAAGTTAGGTGACATATTTGCAAATAAATATAAATATCTACTGCAACTCTAACACTCCTGGTACTGAATATTCACTTTATCTACATCTTAAGGTGAATTTGTGTGTATTCCATTTTTAAAACAACTTTGTAAATAAATCAAAATTGTGCATGAAATATAATTCTTTAGAGTTCTCATCTGCAATTGTGCTGAGATATAAAAAATCTACTTCCAAGCACACTTTCCCAAGAATAAGCGCTGATAAATCTAGAAGAGTGACTTCTGAACAAACTTACATAGAATTGAAGAGAACATATGGGCACAATGTTTTTCAAAATGCTAACCAAAATGAGATATTATTACAAATGTTAGTCTATCAAGAGAATTTGATTTGAAAGATTTTAATATATAGCTAGCTATGTGCCAAGTCCATTAGATATGAACTGGAAGAATTTAATTCCTATGTCAATATAAATAGCTATTCTATATAATCAAGCTGTGGTTTCAAAAAATCATCATGATTGCCTATATATCGTTAAAGAAATCATATTTAAGGAAAGCAAGGATTTAATTCCCACCATTTTTCATTTTTAAAACATATCTCACCTTACCTGATCAAAACTTCTCCATCAATACCCCCCCTCTTTTTGCCCGCCCCCAACTTAATCTCCACTGAAGTCATTGGCAGGCAAGCTACTCCCACTGCTTCCGTAGCACAGCATTGCTCAAAGAGTCACCTGAAATCTGAAAGGTTTTGCTGCTTTCATTCCTGCTCCTCCTTGTTCTTTTATCCCTTTCGTTGAGAAGATTGACAAACTGTTCTTTCTACCAGTTACAGCAGCTACTGCTGCCGCCTGTCCCAGACGAAAAGGGTTGCTGGAGCAGCAGTGTGGAAAAAATGCTTCAGCCTAACTGAAAACAAAACACTTCACTGTGGCATCCTAAAAGCACTCAAGCACTAACTAGTGGCAAGTGTTCAACATTGACCTGAAAATGTACTTTCCTCTCTGCTTCGTTCCATGTCAGCAAAGGAGAGAGCCTAGTTCCGTTCTGTGCTTCCCAGCGCTACAGCTAAGTCAGAGACTGTTTAGAGGAAGGTATTTACATTCTTTCATTCATTTTATTTCTGTTCACTCATAAACGCAAGGGGTGACAGGATATGTAAGAGTATCTTGATAAAAGTGGCAGTAAATGCCAAACTTTGAACAAGATAAACAAGTTTTAAAAGAGGTTGAAAAAAATGGAGCAAACAATTTTTTTTCTAACAATGGTGTAATGGAGATGGCAAATAAATTAAAACAGGGCTTTTCTGGTATACCTGTCTCTTTCCCCATAGTGACTCTGATTGTGCATATTTTACTTCATGTTATATAAAGCCAGGAAAAATGTGCAAAAGCCATCGTCAACAAGACATTCATTGTATGAAGTGCACACACACAAAAACACACACACACACACATTTCCTACCGTTCTAATTGCCGTTGGAATTCCTGATTCATCAACTGGCCCAATTCCTGCATAATGTGGTGCTTTAATGACTGTGACTTTCTTTTCTTCCTCTGAAGTCCTACAGATCGGTATGGTGGTGGTGGTCGTGCTGCTGCTGCTGTCACCGCCACCAACAGAGTGTGCATGCTGTGAGTACATCTCTGTGGATTCTACAAAGATAACATAAGGCTGTACAACTGTAGAAGTGCCCTGCTTTGCCTGCATATTCGAAAATGCATTTTCACAAGGCAAACAGACACATATAGATGATCTTCTCTGTACTACTAGACAGAAAGCAGCACGAGAACACAGCAGATCTTAGCTCTCCAGGTCTTTTGCTTCAGATGCTGGAAGGCTTCTACAAATCAGAGCAGATGATTTGGGCTGCGAATGTCAGGATGACCACCAGGTAGCAACAAAGAGATAATCTTGTGAGACTATCTTGTGGCCATCCAGATTTTTGCAGCCTGAAACTGGTAACCTTAAGTTCACAACACCACTGGTTTAGTTCATCACAAAACACAATTGGCTGAGTTCTAATCCATAAATCACTGTTTACAAATCATAATGGTTAGACCCAGCAGATGGAAGTGTGAATAGCAGGAAAGGGAAGACATTTTATAATTATAAAGTCCTAATAATGAAAATTTACTTTGAACAGAAATCTCAACAGGCAGAGCAGTTGCTATTAAGGGTTGTTGCAAATAGTTTAAATTTATTTATTTATTTATTTATCACATTATTGAAATTACATATCTCCCTCACAGGGAGACTCTTGGCAAGTAAAAAATACTAAATCCCTCCTTCTGTTTCTCTCTCGCTAATTTTTTAAAATACAAAATTAAATCTGAGTTAAATCACATATTCCTACAGAAAATTTTCAAAATTGCAAAATAGATTTGATCAAAGGTAAAAATGTCAACATTCTCATTTTACAGATGACTAAGACTAAAGACTAAGACCAATCAGCACAGAAATAGCCATGGCAGTGTATTGTTAATGTTCAGATTTAATTGTACTATTCTTATTCAATTTTTGAAAGCTGAGTTATCTTGTTGATCTACGGCAGCATCACTCATAGTTCTAAAGGAAACCCAACCTATTTATCTGATTTGAAGAATGTAATGTTTAATTAATATTTATAGTTGAACTATTACATTAATAGTAAGACTATTAATATATGACATTGGATCTTTTGTTTGTTAAAATTTGCAATCTATAAATAAGATAGCTAGGAGCATATATGGTAAGGCAGTTTAGGTTTAGCATGGATAAAATATCTAGATATCTGGGCTTTTCTCCAAATAGGCATAATACTAAATTTAGAGAGAGAGAAAAGAGGAATGTTTCTACAGCCCAAAAATAGCAAAAACTGTCTGCCTTCATCATAAGAGCTTAAGGCATAACCAGACATAACATCAAGTGTATAAATTCAATTAATCTATAGGCTTTTAAAAATATAAATATAATCTGCAGAGAGATAGAAAAGGCATTTTCGGAAGCTGAGGGGATAATTTAATCCTTCACTTTACCATAACTGTAGCAAAAACAACAACAACTCAGAAACCCTGTTCATAACAGAAAGGTTATTTAGAAACCTTTCATTACATCTCTACTATATTTTGACATATATCTCTAACTATATATACTCAAATGTTTCTTGCCATATTTAAAGCTCTAAATTATAATGCATAAAAGGGTGGAGCAGATTGAAAATACAAAAACAAAATCAAAAGGCATGAGGACCTCAAATCTAACTTTGTGAAGGTTCAGTGAGGTACAGTAGAATATGGATTTAGAGGATAAAAACTGACAGTTGAGTGGAAGACAACATGGATTGCAGCAGGTGGAGCAGAAAGAGGTGGAAAAAAATATTCTCTTTGGCCATATTCTCTTTTGTGCACTCACAACACAAGCATGCCTTCCTTGCTTTTTTTTTTAAAAAAATATCAAAATATTTTCTCCCTTCTCTGACTCACATTGAAGGACAGAATCAAGGTATATAAATCAGGTAAATTTTGTCACCAATTGCTTTGGAAAGAAGAGAGGTGAAGGACAATGACTGGGAACAATGGCAGTAAGCAAGATTGGAATTGCTAGATGTTATGCTTGTTTGGTTTTCTGCTGAGTTAGGGATGAGGAGGGAACATTTTAATTTAGCAGTGGTAAATGACCCGAAGTATGAGTAAACTGGACTGCTTTTAAATGTTCCCAGGAATGAAGGAACATAAAAGTTTATGAACAAATCTGACTTTTTGGTGAAAGTTGTACTGGATAACACCTAATATTTTGCATATTTCCCAAATAATAAAAAAAGGATTTTAAAAAGAGGAAAACACCATCATTATGGTAGAGTTCGGGGATAGGTTACAGCAATTGATAAAGGGAATATTAACAGAAACTCTGTGGGACAGGATTCAATAGAATGAAATTACTAAAAATGCAAATGTGCATAGTTCACATTACAATATTTTGTGGCATGGACTTAGTAGCTTTACTTAAACAATCTACAATATGCTGCACTTGATTTAAGTTCAGTTTTATGAAGAAATATTTAATCCAATTGAAATAATTAGTTCAAATTATTGATTCAAATTCAAATTATAAATAATTTCAACAATTAAAAAACAACTATTGGACAACAGTTGTCATAAATTCATAAAGGATATGTGGACCTATAATCTTAATTTACACTGTGGTGGCATGGATACAGTATGATATATTTAATTTAATATTTATTTAAGTATGCTTTTACTCTCACTGACCAAATTTACATATTTTTAATTCCAAATGATCTAGATAGACTTTCTTTCCAGGGATTTTTGTAGAAAAATATTCTGGCTGCCATGAAAATCTGCTGTCAAATTTTCTGTTCGGAAGGCCAGTATTCTTAAGTCATTTGGAAGCTAAAAAAAAAAAAAGTGGCAGTGTGTGGGTTTTTTCTGCTACCATTATCAGTATGTGCGATGGTAAAAGAGCTGGAACCTATTTTGAGAAAAGTGAATTATGAAGAACTCTATCTGGTGGAATTCTGGTATAATTTCAATTTACATTCTTATTAATCAGTGAATAATGCTTATGGATTTAAAGAAAGTGTCATTTTTATTTGCATTCCAAACTCACCCATTGTCCTGCTCTGTTGCAGGAGAGAGGAGCTTGAAGTGAATGAGACTGGTGGAGAGTAGGCCAAAGAAGGGGAGAAAGGCCTTTGAAAGTAACTCATTGGGCTGGTTGCCAAGCTAGAATTCCCATTCACTGTTATCTGAGCCTGAGGGGAAAGAAACAAAACAAAAACAAAATCCCAAAATCATATCTAGTCATATGCAATACACTTCTGAAGTCTGAAATCCACCATCAATATAAAAGATGAAGGAGAGAATGATAAAATTCATAACAGTAGCCAGTTTTCCAGTGTTTAGCTACAATCCATAATCATTCCTAGAATTATGGGGAAATTAGTTTGTTATATGTGGAGACCTACTTTTTATCAAAAGCTCATGATACTTTACATAGGAATTAGATCTCTGTTTGTTTTATCCTAGAGCAAGAATCGTGCAAGAGTCTGGTCTAACAGAAACCAACTAGCCCATAGTTTCTCAGTAAGTTTCTATGGCTGAGAGCAGAGTTGAACCTACATCTTCTGTTTTAATACAATACCTTAATCACTGCATTACATTAGGTTTCACAAAGGCCTCAGTTAAAGTAGCAACTGCTTAAAAAATGAAGGGGATAGTCAAAATTGTTTTCTCCATTCTTCTGAAGATCTAATTTTTGTTTTCCCTATACCTGACTCTTACTATTATTCACTTGGAGTCCTCCAAGCCAAAATACCCAAGGAAAGTAACCAAATTTCTTTCAAGTGACAAAAATCAGTGACTACGATATCAGTGAACAATATGTACCTTTTTATAAGAAATTATACCCTGTCTGCTAAATTCTGTCAATATTTTTATTATTTTCTTTTTAAAGTACCACCCTTTTAGATATGCTTCCATTTATTATGATTACATTGCTGCAACTTTTTTAACATTAATGGGTTGGTATTTTTTTTAAAAAAAAATCCAGACGAGCTTTGGGCCTCAAAATCCTTTTAAAAAACAGAAAGAATTGAAGGAAGATTACTTTGAATGATATGTCACTTAGCTCTTCTCTACATTTCTATCTGTGTGGATGGAACTGAACTTGAACTATGGTACATGATAAGGAGGAATTACAGCAGGTATACAGGTATTTAAATTTTCTGATGTAAATATATTTCATTGGAAGCAATTGCCTCTACTCTTATCTATTCTGGTAAGATGTTGTTCTACAAACAACATAACCATGGGATAACCTAAACAACATGGGATAACCTAAAAACTTTCAAGGATCTGTATCACGTTATGGTCTTAACCAAAGACCATAACATGATACAGATCCTTGAAACACTGTTTTAACTTTTGATGGGTCATTTAAAATTTAAACTTCTGTCATTTGTAATTTGTTTTATTAAGTATAATACTGGTCATTGTCAAAAACAAGATGTTGGCCATGACATCTTTCTTTTTTGTGTATTATTATAATAATAAATTTATTTGCCGCATTGCAACATAAAGAGGCACAGCTTTGATTGAACCAGCATATTGACTTTCACACTTTACCCTCCACAGACTCCTGTTTAGACACTAATTTATGCCAGCCACACAGCTGTCATCTACAAAATAGAATGCAAGTTATAGGAATAAATGGATCCTATGCTCAAATTGTTGATCTTACCTGGGAACAAATTTTATTTACTCATTTATTGGATATATGTCTCATCTTTTTCTCAGTTTGATGATAGGATAAATGTGTTTATCACCCATTTAGTATTTTTTGCTTTTAGGTAAGTATTTGGGCTTTTAATCTGTTATCTTCCTTCATTTTTAAATATATAATAAAAGAACTCACATGCACTGCAGAAATTGAATTCTAAAATTATACTTTATTTCTCTGACTCTTTCTCTCTCTCTGACACACATATATGCACACACACAAGCATACATGCAAAGGGCAGTGTTAGTTTAGGGGGTAAATTGACTTAGAATCTATTTTATGCAGTGATTACAACTAATGGTTAACAAGGTGTGTATATTTGTGCTCTTCAAATATTTTAAATTTCATTGTAGGGGCATATACAGATTTCTCACTTTTTTCTCATTTATTTGCAATTTGCCTAAAGATTCTGTACATATAAGCTAGCATCATGCTGTAGACGTGATTATAATCTAAACATTATTCCTCTTTAATATGAGGGACTGAGGATTTATAACCAGTAGATTTATTCAGGATAGTGGAAGCAATTGGAGCAAGGGAGTATTGCGGTGAAAATCTGACACTGAAATGTAGACAGCAATGACAAATTTCTCATGCTCATTCCATGCAAACCCCACCTGGCAAGAAGCCCAATTGATATTCCCACCTCCCGCTTCTTGCATCACCTATTGCTCCTTCTAGCCAAAGCCAATTTTCCAAACATTAATGCCCTGAAAGAGGAGGCAAGCCAAGCTGGTCATTTTTTAATTTTAAATTGGCAAGGAAGAAAGTTGGGTGTGGGAGGGAATGAAAAACCAAAATACTGTGGTTTTTGGAGTGGGATGAGGAATCCAGAAGATGTGGGAAGAGTTCCCACCAATAGAAAACTAACCCCCCCACAGCTCAAAACCATAACTGCAGCAATTTTCTGAATCAGGTTCCAAGCAGATTAAATTTGGAAGCTAATCAGCTCAGAATTACAAGACAATGAAGTTATAAACTGAACATGTGCAGGTGTGCTTCCATCACATTTTTGTTACAATCAAAATTCAATCTTTGCAAACTGCAAATTGGATTGAGATAGCACACTAGTGACAGAAGGTAAGTTTATGCATTTCCCAGGTAGAAAAAGACATTTGAATAGCTTTTGCAACAGTTGACATCAGGACCCATTAGCATTCCCCGGAGCACACAAGGTGGACAAAACTGTTGTTTTTGTCTTTTTCCCCCCTGAGATGTTCGGAAGATTGAGGGGCCAAATGAGTGCCTTAAACTTTCATCCTTTAATATTACCCGCAAATAGGAATGGTTTTCTGCACTGAGGGCAAAACAGTGCCTTAATGCCTTTTCACACCTCTCTCAACACACAGACAAAATCCTGTTCAACACTTCAGTACCATCCAGTCTGGATTGCTTCACCGGCCTTCCTTTTGCAAGTTGTCAATCAAGACACAAAGTGCAACCTCCTGGTTTTAATTGATAAGATAAAGAAACAACTGTTTTCTATTTCACTGATATTGTAAAAATCACCAGTTTGGAATATTGTAATTATGTTCCTCCCACCATATTCCTTATTGCATGGGAAAAGCTCAAAATCTTTACAGAACAAGATACCACCAATGATCAGCATGCCAATTAATTAAATGAGGTGACAGACCAAAACTAGCTTCTTTTCCACCTTGACGGCATTGTCGAACAGAATGGAAGAGAAAAAAGGAAGGATAATTACATGAGAGCTGGCAGCAGTGGAGGTTAAGGTGGTGCCATCAGACGCAGCAGACGTCTGGCTCAAGGTTGGGGAAGGTGTTTCAGAACAGTCAGTAGTATCATAGTTACAGCTTTGTAGCTCATCTAGCATGGCAGCGGAGAACTCGCTCACTGGCTGAGAGGAGAACTCACTCATGGCTGACACAATAGAGTCAGTTTCAGTCTTGTGGAGCAGAGTGTCAGGTAGAAGGAAGGGGTATGTATAGGAGAACGGTGAAAGGGCCGGGGTTCTATAAATGTGTGACGGCCAGAAATCATCACATGGTGGTAAAGGACATGAAGTTGCATGGGTGCCACTGTCAGGTGAGAGAGAGGGCTGGTGAACCGGAACCATGGGAAGAGGAGGAGGAGGAGGTGGTGGTGGTGAGGGAGGCAACGGTGCAGCTTCAGCTGACGTTTGTCTGTGTGTCTGGGAAGCATTTACCTCCATCACATTGGCAGTCACTTTCTGGTTTCCAAGCTGAATTTTGAAAAAAAAAACAAAACAATCAAACATAAGAAAACATATTACTAAAATTGATTTTTAAAAGTGTTTTCCTTTAGTTGTGTTCAAGAGTATACAAAAAGAAAAAAAAAAGACACTCTGTGTGTGTCTTTTTCCAAGCGTTGAAAATAAAAATCAGATAGAAAAGAAAATATAGTTTATTTTAGAAGGAAAACATATTAAGTGAATTTGTCAAGCAGTAATAGAAGCAACGCCAGAAACTACAGTGTACTGAATAAACATTTATATTCATTTCCTTAACTTATATTGTTTGAGGGTTTATTTAAATTAAGTTTGATTAAGCTTAATTTATCAGTAAAATTAGAGGGACTTTAAAAAAAATACACAATTGCACCTCCTTTTTAATTGAAATAAACAAAACAAGCCCCAGTTACTTCCTAAAGGACTTCCATATAATGGTTTCAAGATATGAAAGCAATGGACTATACACCAGGAGTGTACAAATTGCATGCCATTCTTATAGACTCAATGGCAAAAAGGATCATGATACTCATCCTTTTCATGTATAGGAGAAGTTTATGCCATGAAGAAGAAATGAGAGTGAGCCATTGATAGTGGTCTCCTGATATTTGAATCTGGATAAATGGGAGGAAAAAAAGAGAAGCATGTACACATATATAGGTTTCTCCTCTTCAAATTCCATCTCAATAACTGGATGAGGGTGGTGGAGGCAAGAAAAGGCTGCTTGTAACACTAGGGGCAAAATGAAATCCTCTGATTTCACTCCCCCTTCAACTTGTGAAAGTTATCACTAAATAATTAACAAAGAGAAATGGGTTTACTGCTTATTTAGACTACATGGAAGGAGACAACATGGAACAAGCTGTTTCCACTAACTGAAAGTTTTCACATAGATATCTTTCCCTTATTAAAATATAAATCATTTAGAAGTATACAGATTTCCAAGAGCAAAAGCCCCAATCCTAAATTTCATGCTCAACTCATACTATTTCTGTAGGAGCCTAAGACTGCTGAAGTCTACATGGCTTGACTCAAAATCAACTTATATTGGGATAGATGTGTGTGTAATATTAATATGCATGAAAGAAAAAGCTATAGAAGTACATAATAGAAAAAGATTTGTGTAAAAGTAATTAGGTCATTAGTAATTATTCTAATAAACAATTATTAGAAAAGGGATCTAATTTCTACATGAAGAATTTCCCTCTTTCTAAAGGAAATGATTATTTGGGAAGGAGATGGAAAACATGGGATGAGGGACCTTTTTACTTTGTCTTCTCTGAAGAAATTGCTGGGAAGGATCTATCCATATTTAATTAGCATATGATTATAGGACTTACTATACATATATTTGCCTCATCAAAATAATTATATTGCACTGTGTATCTGCTTTTTATATACACTCTGGTTTGTTTAAGAAAAGTGTAGAGAATTTTAGAAGCCAATATTAAACTGGAAGGGTGCAATAAAGAATCCTAATGATCTAAGCTGATGATTATAATAAAGGCCTATAATTTACATGATATAATTAAATAATATATATTATACTGGGAATGAATAAACAAACTGGCACCTTAATGTTAATTTTTAATTCTCAAAGTCAGTACTAAAGAAATAGATAAAGTGGTTGGTGAAGGACCCGTTGGTAGATGCCAGCAGCAAGAATATGTTCGGTTATTACTTACACACTATGAATCATACATAGATAGGAAATTGTTCTTGATTTTCTCTAATAACATGTCCCCCAAGTTTAGGAACTCTTAGATTGTTTCAAGAAATACAAGCTTTTATATATAATGTTTTATAAAATAAACAAATGCATATTCTTGCAGAAATGGTGAATGTACAGCAAATGTGTCATTTAGTATTAGCACAAATGTAGCTTCCCTCAACACCTGAAGTGGTAAAAGAGGAAATAAAGAAGACAAATGTAGCTGAGATGCCATAGTCCAGAAAGTGTGGGAAGCTATGACTTTATAATATTACTAATTACAATTCCCCATATTCTAAAACCTCTTACACTACCTATGGTGGTTGGGCTGGATAGGAATTGTAGTTCAGCAACATCTAGATGGATACTTCCCTCATAGTTGAGGATGCAAGTAACAGAATGCTGGTTTGCATGATGATCTCTAGATTAGAGGCCCCAGCTTGCATAACATCACATGTATATGGTTAGATTAAAGCTAGCCATTGGTAGGACTTGTCCTTATTAGAAGAGTGCTACACAAAGCATGGGTTTAACAAAGACTATTAACTTAAACTAAATCAATTCTTATCTTACTAAAATGTTATTTGGAATAAAAAACTTAACTGATGAAAACCAAAATGGATAGTAGAGGTGAACATCTATTGGCCTCTCTGGGGATTAACATAACATATGGAAGAGAGAGACTGGAATGCAAGACAAATAAGTGGTAAAAACCATGAAATAAAGGAAGAAATTAAAGAAAATTAAGGGGAATCAGGTAATAGATTTGAGTGGTAATCTGATTTTATGGAATGTTGATGAATTCATGCAGGGAAACAAAGATATAAGATTAATTATGAATAGAAGAGCTGAAATGCATGTCATAAAGTATGAATTGATGTCATCTTGGTTGTTATGGATACAATAAAATAATTTCTACAGACTGTGGTTATAGTTGCTTATCCAGTAAATGTTTATAATTGAAGAACCAAATATGAATCTGCAATTATGCAGTATTCTGAATGAATATGATCCAGGGGAAAATTATTTGTTAGATGACATGAACTGATGAGTGGGAATGAGACAACAGAGGAAAAAATTTAGGAAACTCCTAAATGAATGAAAAATGTCAAGTGCGTATCTTTTCTTTAAAAAGTATTCTAAATATATGGATTAAGTATACATATACTCATATGTATACATAAGGAATTGATATACATTTTAAATGATTGATGTGATTCTTGAAGATGAGTGACTGAAAGAAATGAAGGATAGAAGGGTGATTGTTTTTATTGTGGGATAGACACAATGAAAGGAGTGAAAGAAATAGAGTGAAAGAAACAAGACTGAAACTACAGGAACAGCAAGAAAAAGTCCTATAAACTAGAAACAGATTAATCTTCAAACATGGCGAATGGAAAATTGACATAAGGAAAGATGACTCTTGCTTTGGTTAGGGGGCTGGTCTAGAAGACCTCCAAGTCCCTTTAAGACCTCCGAATCCTATGATTTGATGAAAGACAATCTTAACTGGGGTCTTTTATTTATCCCTTTCCTAATAAACTGTGTGTGATTTGGGGAGATACAGAGCAGGTATCCTGATTTGGACTATAAAATAATAAAGTTACCCCAGCATCAATTTCTGCTATTTGTTTTATCCCTTCAGTGCATATAAGGAACAGAGTAGAAGGAATTAAGTAATACGTATTTGCTCATATAAACTGAAATCCTTGAAAATTCTGTTTTATTGGACTTGTGATTCGTTTACATTTTTTAAGGCTACATGAAAAAAAGCACTCAGCATACTATTAATGATTTTACAATATATTTCTATACATTTCCTGAGACATAATCTCAGCAGGTGGCAGCACCTAATAGACCTTAACATTTAGAAGCTGCACAGGGCTGGATATGATTTATGTTTGCTTGTGAGACCTTCAAGAATATTATACTGGAGCTGTGGACTAGATCGTCTGGGAAGCTGATCAAATATATTGAAATTAGGCAGTAATAGCTCACTACCATATTATTTTGAATAAAACTATCCCTAAAGTTCTCAGAAAATTTCAAAGGATTAATAAGCCTTTGATGGCAGTTAGAATTAGGAATTCCTTTTGTTTTTCCAATTTATCTCCTACCCTCTCTGTGAGTAGGGGAACTGCAAATTTCATGGAATTTCCTTCATGTCAACTTTCCAAATGCATACTTTTTCTCCCTGAAAAGAATGTAGGTAGCTAAAAGATAGGCTTTTAGTTGCCCTCTGTTTCTAATTCTTACAAAAAAGCTCCTTTTGATTACTGTTATAAAGAGATGCTTCAACTTTCTTTGCTCAGCTTAGATTCCCACTCTCAGGGAAATAAATGACTTCCTCCAATAAAATGTTCAAAGCATTATGAAGTTTATTACTTCTTATAGTATACAATACCTGCTAGGAAGTGATCAGCAAAAATGATCTGCTTGGAGCATAGTAACACATAGCAAATGTAACCTGTAATTGTTTTCAGGCAATGCATTTCTTAGGTATTTATTTATGAAAATTTATATGGTCACCCAACTCACTTTCAGTGACTCCTGGCAACTTACAGTTTGGGTCACCTTCAGAGGAAATTACGCACCTTTGCATGAAAATGTAAGATAACTGTCACTTTAAGTCATAAGACTTATATATCAAAAAGATAGCACTCTGTAAAATTACTGCTTGGGAAATTATAGACACCAAAGTTCAAAACCTAATTCAGAATATAAAGAATCTATTTGGGCAGTTCATGGAATGTTGTTTCTCTAAATATCTACATTGAAATATATTTATCAGGTTGCCTAAGTTTTCGTAAGTAATGAAATTAAATATACCAATACAAATGGTTTACAGATATTGTGGACAATGAATCTCCAATTTTAACATAAAATTCAGACTTACAGCATAGTGCAAAATAAATAATGACACCACATTGCTGGCCTTGCTTCAAAAGAACAAGACACAAATAAGAATTTAAGATGAAGAAAGTGAACTGATTTTTGTTAATTAACGTATAGAATAAAACAGCACACAATATTCATCTTTTAACACACACACACACACAGACATGGGTAAAAATACCTTGTAAAGAGCTAATCTCAATTTTTTTAAATGTGGTTTATCAGAATTCATAAAAATAACGAGGACAGGCTTTATTTCACTTCAGTAATGATTGGGAGATATTATGCTTTTTGGTAATTATGGAAAACTGGCCTATATAAATAACTTGTGGTGGTGACTGTTGGATATCTTGCATTCTTAATTATGTTTTTTTTCTCCAGAAGCTGAACTATTTTATCAGCTGAATGATACTTCCTTTATTGTACATCCAAATCGAAGAGGTGCCTTCTCTATGTTACACACATAAATCTAAATAAGCATGCCAATGGTAAGCCGTAAAACTACCTTGGAGACTTCCATACGAATTATGGGATTTAAAAATTGCATAGGGGCAAATGAACAATGCAACTCAGGAATGCAGAAAATAAACTTACAAATGGTTGTTGCAAGCTACTGCTTGTCGTAGCTCCATATGTAATATCTTTGTAGAAGAAACCTCCATATCCCCAGAAATATCCCAAGCTACTATTAGTAATAGACAATATTTAAATGAGTTTCTTCAAACAATATAGCAATTCTGTGACACAAAGACATCTTATGTTATGACATTCCCTTCCCTACATGTAGCTAACCAGATAAGTATCCTTCTAAAATTTAATGGCTGTCTATATATTTTGCAATGGGTGATCTGCCTCCTTTAAGTAAGAGTGGTTTTCCTTCTTGTTAATACAATGGCCTTCTATAGGATGAAATAGATTGTTTGGAAATATTCTAGAACTCTGCCTTGTCACTAAGATGACACAGAAGAGCCCCACCAACCCTGGCTAGTATGTCAAACATTACTTCAGTTGATTGTAAAAACCCTGTAAAAGTGATTTTTTTTGAGGAACATGTGTTTATAATATTACAATAGTTATCCAAACTAGCATAAGTACAGTATTCAACCAGCCATGTTTATATTATACACGTGTAATTGTTATATTATGATGAATTATACAGAATGTCCTTTTCATAAAACAATATGCACTTTTTAAAAACCATTAAAAATTTAAAACATTCCATATTTATTTTGTCCTTAATTTATATGGCTTCCTAACTTTGTTTCCCATATTACATATGTGATGTACATCATGCCCTATATATTGTCCTTACATACAGAATATAAGTGCAATTACGTGTACATAGTTTTTTCTGCCATTTTGTCTTTTTTTGATTCCTGCCATGAAGATGTTATTTACCAATGTCTACCAATAATTTCTACTTCAGTATCTTTGAATCAAAGCAGGATGTAAAAATATAACATGTTATATCACACATGAAAGCTTAAAATTTAATAATGACAAACTTTCATATGGATGAATGACCTCGGCACTTATTCAATTTTACTGAAATAGTGTTGAATTTATCAGACTTTGCCATGTGCCCATCCCATCAAAATGAACAGAAATTGAGAAGTTCTTAATGAATATTATGCTTGATTGGATGACACAATTGCTGAGTTTATGACTTGGAAATTGGAAAGTGGTGATTCATAGTATACTGAAGTGGAGAAATACACACAAGTGATTCCAGCAATTAGTATCAAATGAAACTGTGATGAATCCTACAAATTCTAGCTTTTCTCATCAGTCCATTATATATAATAAACCTTAAAACATATTTCACTTTATGCAATAAAATGGAAATGCAAAGAGTGATGCAAAAAAGAAGAAGAAGCCTGATCCAAAAGTGATCCCCCCCCACCCTGCTACCACTGGCGCTGGAAGTTATGTGTGCCTTACTAAGGATTTTTTTGGGGGAGGAAAAGAGTTTTGCAAACCTGGGCAACATTTGAAAAGCACTAAAAGTAGCTCTTCACTGGAATGAAATTCTCCAGGGAATAAAAGTAAAAATATGCTCACTTGCTTTTTTGATTAACTGTGTGAGCCACAGAATATGGTACTTTATTCATACCAGTTTCCCAGAGATAGAGCATAATGAAAATGCTCAATTTAACTTTCTACTTAGATTAATCCCTTCTTGATCATTTAAACATTTCTCTGTCAGTTGGTACATCAATTTAGCTGCCTTCACTTTCCTGAACAGCTTGACTGGGATCTAAATTGACTCTCCTATGGAGATGGGAACCCTTGTCAGCTGAAAGTAAAGGAAACTTAGGCGATTTAATTCTGAAGGTGAAAATGGAAAGTGAAAAATCTGGGTTAGTACTAAATATGAAGAAAACAACAGTAAATTTAATATGTAAAGAAATATAGTAGATAATTTCATTTTTTGGAGGCTCAACCATATAGATAGAAAGCATGCTAAAGATGTAGAGATTAATTTTCTGATGTCATGAGATAAGGAACTTAGACAAGAACATGAAAGATGTTGACAGTTAAATTGCAATAAAATATTAGTTACAGCAATGGTCTTTCCAGTTGAAAGATATGAAATCTGGACACTTAAGAAAGAATGGGTGAAAGAAAATGGAAACCTATGAATTATGACCCTGAAGTCAGCTGCTAAGAGCTGCATGAACCTCAGGAAGATCAAGTCAACCAGTCTTGAACCAATAAAAACTGACTGCTCACTTGATATGATAATTAGATAGTAAAAACTTATAAAATATCATGACTGGAAGACTTTGAGAAGAATAAGAGAAGTCAACAGATAACATAAATAAACAGGATCAAAGAGATTACTGGAATTATCTTGGAACAGCTGTGAGGTAATTTGAAAGATGATCAATACGATGAGCATTTTTCCATGCAGTCACCGGGCACTGAATCTGACTCAATGGCATATAACTAATAAACTATTAATCTTAAATTCCTTCATGAAAATTCTTTATGTATTATTTCCATTTAGCTGTGAATTACTCTTCTGAGAAATAATAAATCTCAGAGTCAGACATTATTAAGTACACTTTAAACAGAAAGTGTTAAACAATTTTAAAATAAGAAGGGTGCCAACTATTGGACCTATAAAATGACCCTGTTTTTAATCAGTTATACTGCATTGGTTAGTCTGGTATTTTCTCATTGATGCATAAATAGAAGCTGTTTAAAACTTGTGTTTCTCTGCCAAAAAACCTAACTACTGCAGCAGCATTAAGTGAAATATGCCCACATCCACTAGTGTGCTATTAACAGTTAATTCCTATTCATTCAAAATCAAAGCATAAAATACTATTCAGTTTGCAACCTTCCCTGAAGAATTGAAAACTTTACGGAGAAATGTCAAAAATGTATCTGTACCCACCCTCCTCTCTTTTATCACTTCAGTGCAATAAAAGGAGAAAGGTGAGAGTGGGTCTCTTTTAATAGTGCAGATACAGAACATAGACATCTTACCCAGCAAAAGTGAAGTGCTGTTCAAAATACTCCTATACTAAATATTTCTGTCAAATGTCATTGATTTTCTAGTTCAGCACAAAATCCTTCTTTTTAATGAAATGCCATATTAGTGTGTCTCCTAACTTTTAAATGCAAATAACTGTGTGTGAAAGGGATAGGTGAACTTTCCATGTAGGCATAGGAGACCAGAGATGTCTTTCAATATTGGCACTGCTGCCAATTAGTGATAATCAGAAAATTTATGATCTGTTTTTTGGTGGAGTCTCCTTTCTATTGATCACAACTTTGCCCTATCTAGAACGCAGGAAAATGTTCTCTTTATATGACTGAAATGTTTTATGTTCTTTGTCTCTCTTCTTTCCTTGGACTAAGATGGATTCGGAATGTATTTAGAAATAATAATAATAATAATAATAATAATAATAATAATAATAATAATAATAATAATAATACAGATTTTTCATTATTGTGACAGGTAGTTTTACCCAGGATTTGTGGTCATTGTCAGAACCATGTGAGTACGCTAAAGAGAAAAGAGTTAGGTGATACAAGAAAGAGCTAAAATGAAAAAGACAGAGAAAGAGATAAAGATAATATACCACATGGTATTGCGCAGCCGCAGCATCAGACATTTGTTGCATATTTTCTGGTAGCATCTTTGAAGGGTCTGGAGAAAATCTAGATGGATGATGTTGGCATTCAGGTGCTGCTTTACAATCAGTGATGGGGGCTATCTGAATGGAGAGAGATGCTTTGTGTATCTCAGGCACGGGGTTACGGACAGGTGAGGCAGACCTCCATGGAACTGCTGAGGCACCACCAGGCTCAGGCATTTGCTGTGTATGAGAAGGAACACTACTAGACGCATTCTGTGCCTGAGTTAATTTCAGGGTAGAAACTCTACGTTTCTGAGGCTGTTTGTGGCCTTGATGAACAATAGTTCTAATGCCAGCTATTGTTTTTGTGCTAGAAACCGAGGCCAGTGGTTTTGTGCTTTTTTGTGTGCAAGACATTCTTGTGTTAGACTTTTTAGAATAAGTTGTCCTCTGAAGAAACTCCTTGTTAGTAGAGTAGTTCCCATCAGGATATGGTTTAATTTGTTTGGTTGTTACGGAACAGGAGTTACTTCCACTCTTCTTCAGATTAGATATTCCAGATCTACCAAAACTTTTTTTCCTAGGGGGTAGGGGGGGTGCCTTATTTGCCAAAAGCATCCACACAACAAAACAATATTACAGGAGAAAGAAACAAAGCAAAACGTTAGCAGGAAAGTAAACAGAGTTGTCTTTTAAAATCTAGGCACTAATAAACGTAAACGTTGGCATAGCGATCAATGCTTCTTGAATCAAGCTGCAAAATACAACATTCCAAAAAATATTTTATTTTGCTAGATGGAAAATTAGCACATATTTATTGACATTTTACATCTCTACCTTTAAAAATGTAACATTGAGTCGAATGTAGTTTTTACTTAATTTACTGCAGATAGGATGGCAGCAAAAGCTTTTTTTGTGTAACAACATGGATATAAAATATTTTACTTTTAGAACAAAACTACTGGTTATCAGAACTGTTAAGGCAGAGAGGAAAAAATGCACATGCATGGGATAGATCATGCAAATAAAACTATTCTGGTGCAAATCTGTATGTGTGTGCATGCACATACCCCCCCCTCCAAATTATTAATTTACTTAACAAGTCTTGTATATTGCCCATCCTGCACCCTTTAGGCAGCTAACAATGCAAATATTTAAACTACCTCCCAAACCTCAAGTACATATAAATACATATAAAAAATAATTTCCAACAAATACAAATACCATAATCCTGCAAGCCTCCTTCCTGTTAAAGAACACCCATCTCCTGTACATGATGAAAGAGGTAAGTCTTCCATTTTTTTTTCCTGAAGTCTTGGAAAAATAAAGTGGGTAGAATTTCTACTAAGCAAAGTTTGACAGAGTAGAAAGAGTGAGAATGCCCACCTTTGAGGCCTGTCAGGTGACAATTCTGAAGACCCAGGACCTGTCATGAATTGTGCCTATTTGATCTGACTGGTTTGGCAGAGGAATATAGGAGAATATGGTCTCTTAGATACAGGTCTGAAGATATGTAGGACTTTAGGAATAATAACTACACCTTGAACCATAGGTGGAAACCAGCTGTTAATCAATGTAACTTGTAAAGCACCTAGGTAACTTGAATATATTTGAGATACAGCCATTTCTACCCAGGTCCTGCATTCTGAAGCAATTAAAGTTTCTAGTTGTTTTTCAAGGGAAGCCCAATTACAGTGTGTTAGAATAGTGTCATGGCTTTGTCGGAGCCCAGTTTGGAGAAGGAGAGTGAATTGCGACTGTCAGTTGAGGATGGCATGGTCCCTTCAAATGAGTGGAAAGACCAGGGGCTGAGGCCAAGGCAGTCCCAGGGCTTTCTGGAAGTGGGGGGAAGGGGCGCAGACAACCAGACAGAAAGCTGCCTACAGCAGCAGATCAGTTGCAGAGGGCCAGCGGGGATGACAGGCTCCAGAACACCTCTGACAAGGAACAGCTTTCTTCCTTGCCTGATCCGCAGGTGGGGACAGCAGAGTGCAGGAAGACAGAGAGAGGGTCGCCGAGGCTGCCTGTGAGGAAGCAGCCTCTCCCGGCCTCACAAGGAACACCTGAAGAAGAGTGATTTAACCAGATACTGGGGAAAGGTCTGTTTGTCGCGAGCACCTATTTACTTTGATGTGCTTTTGTGAATACTGCTTTGTGAATCTTGGATCATGTTTCTTAGCCATATTTTGAACTTTACTTGTGGACTTTGACCTTGGTTCTCTGACTTCAAACTCTTGGACCGTGCTTTGGTGTCTGGAACTCTGGACTTGCGTTGCAGACTTGGTACTTGTGGGTATTGTTACCTCCCTCTTTGCCTTATGGATCGGCTAGGACTTCTGGAACCCAGAAATTCAGACTGTGAAAGCTGAGGGCTGGGGCAGAGCTTCACTGGCACCATTGGTGGGTCATTTGGCGCTGTGTTAAGTTGCAATAAACAAACTCTACTTAATATCTGTCTTGCCAGCATGACTTGGGGGTCAGAACACATAACTAAATGGGATATGACTGGGACATGACTAACTGTAAGTAGGGTCTCTTGGTCCAGGAAAGACCACAATTGGCAAAAAAGTTGTACTTCTGTAAAAGTCTTCTTAGCTATAATGTCAATTCTTCCTTAAACAGTTGTGCCTCTAATGTCTAGGAGAACTTTCAAATTGTGGCCCACTTCTGAGCAGGAGATTACAGAGACAGAATTTCTCTGGAATTGTTAGGCCTAGAAACAGTTTCTTTTTTTGAAGAATACATTATTTCAGTAAAATAGCTGCTCCTAACCTGGTTGCTGAACAAGTGTCACATTTTCAAGACTAAGAATGGTGAGTTTGCTGTTTAATGCCTATGGAAGACATTAGGTCAAATAAAATGAAGCAGGATTTTTTTTTTTTTTAGAAAAAGAGGCCTATACCAGTATTTTTAACTCAAAGGACATTTCATAGCTGGATGCTTTACTCCAGGAAGCAAATTTAGAGTAGGAGATAACAACAAACTGTGTATAAGTAGTATAATTTTTGTCATACAGCCAAGATGTAAATGTATGTCAGATGTATGTATGTATGCATACAGCCTGAGTAATATAAGATAGGTTAGGATAGCATCCAGGAAACATTCATCCTAAGGAATGAATAACCCTTTTTTCTGAAAACATAGCATTGAAAGTGGAAGTGTCACTGTATACAGCTCCCTGTTTACCTGAGTTGGTGATTTCTTTTCTTGTAGGTTTGGCCGGACACTTCGAAAGCCTTTCGCTGCAAGAGAGGAGCTGCTAGTGTCTCCATTCAGTGTCTCTCTACTTCCAATGTTAAATGATCTCCAAGCTTTTATGTGGAAAGAAATCCAAATAAATTTATTTCTGATACAGAAATCCTTTGATAATGTAACAAGTGAAATCGGTTCTAATTTTTTAAAGGAAAAAAAGATCTCTCTGTATAGAAGTGGTGGCACCAATGTGAAAAATGAAAGGATATAAATACATATGAATCAGCATCATAGGACAGACTTTTATTATGAAGAACAATGAGGAGGTGATGTTGAGTTCACCACCATTGTTCAGCTGAGACAAATGACTGTTTTGTCAAGCAGCATCCATAAAACAAAATGGCATAGATGACAGTATGAATATAAAATATAAAATGATACATGTATCATTATTTGTCCTTCTTTGTCCGTCCCCCCCCCCCCATGAATGTCCTGACTCTGACTTTTCATAATAGTCTTTCTCAGTGGCATCTCTGCCAGTTCATTTTATAACTTGACAAAGAACAAAGCCTTTATCTGGAAGTGGGAAATCCATGTTCCATTTATAATCCTGAAATCCCATCACTTGGTATTGAGGAAATCATTAGGGCTCAGTTAAAGAGATGTCAAGAGACCTATCATATGCTTTGAAATAAAGAAATTAGAAGTGTTCAGGGAAAATGACAACCATTTGATTTTTTTTCTCCTTTATGAAGAAATTTCTAAAGTGGAAAATGGAATGTTCCTACACTTTGGGCACATTCAGACAGCTGGCTTAATGGGTTGTTGTTCAGGCTATGAGTCCGTTCAAAGTATGCCAGCCTAAATTCATAGCTCATCACTGTTCAACCTCATTAACAGTGCCAGTGAATGGACTTTCTCTTAAGAGTGGTCTGTGTAAAAAAGATAACGTGCTAAATGTCCTTGCCAACAAAAAATTAATCACTTTTCTAATGGAGAATGGGAATAAGGCAAATGGCTAGATCAGTGGATTTAATCATCTAGGAGGACCTGATCTAAGGTAGGTTGGGGCTTTCCATTTCAAATGATATGACCCATCCTATGAATCACCTGAAATGGCTGATCTACAATGGTGATACAATGAAAGCCTTCTAGTGGGCTAAAGGTGGGAGCAGTCCCTGTAAAACCAGAAAGGTTTTATTTTCCTGTTTTAGTGGAAATTGCCAGCCTCCCACCTGGCATGGAGTACCTGTAGCACCTGATGCAGAGAGGTGGGTGATAGAAGCTTGGACATCCTATCACTCTACTTCAGTATTTCTTGGCAACTTTAAGGCAGGTGGCTTGGAGCCTGGCTAGGGAATTTTGGGAGTAGAAGTCCACCCTTCTTAAAGTTGCCAAGGTTGAGAAACATTACTCTACATTGCCATAAATCAGATGGTTCAAATCATTCACAGGGTGGGGTGGAGTTGATGAGCAGGATGTTTGGAAGACTGCTTCTAGTGATGGTAGCTCAGTGTTAACTCACTGTCCTTGCCCTGTTGGAAAAAAAATGCCTTGCCAAAAAAGCAAGGGGTTTGGGGTAATGCAGGCATACCACCAGAAAAAAAAAATCATAACTTGTAAAAGCAAGTTTCCCAGCCCTTCTTGTCATCATCATGGTTGACATCAAACTGCCACACACACTTTGTATGTATCTCAGGCTTGGGTCACAAGATGGAAAACACCAATTTCACACTGGATCAGAAATCTCTGAAGTCTGATGGTCTCTACCATGAACTGGGGATTAGAAGAAGGCTTCATCAGGAAGGAATAGCCTTAAACATTAGTTATAGCAGCACCACTCAGAAGAAGATAGGGCAATGTGTGCCATAGTTAGTCTGGTATGATGGCAGTTCCCAATGACGAAAGGGTCTACTTTTTGGTTGGTAACTGTCTGAAGGACAAACAAGATAAATGGATCTTTTGCAATAGTTATTTGGTAGCTTTCATTACTAATTTAAGAGCTGTAGTGCAGTGCTCTCACTGCTCACTCCAGGAGTTCAATTGTGAGCAGCTCAAGGTTGACTCAGCCTTCCATCCTTCTGTGGTCAAAATGAGGACCCAGCTTGTTGGGGGCAATATCCTGGCTCTATATATCACTTAGAGAGGGCTGTAAAGAACTATGCAGTGATATATAAGTTTAAGGGCTAGTGCTACATTTAAATCTATCTTTGTGGTGAGTATAAAGAATACAGAAAAATGCTACATTATTGACTTGGAGAAGATAACGGTACAGAAGACCCAAATTAAATGCACAGCTTCCTCTAGAGGGCAAGAACAGTAATAAATAAAATATATATATATAGGGTTGGTGGAGTTTTTTATTTATTACTGTTCTATATTTATTTATTTATTTATTTATTTATTTATTTATTTATTTATTTATTTATTTATTTATTTATTTATTTAATTTTATTTTATTTTATTTTATTTTATTTTATTTTATTTTATTTTATTCGGCTTATATGCTGCCCTATCTCACAATGGACTCAGGGCGGCTCACAACAATAAAACACAAGCCACAATAAAAATAAAGACTAAAATCTAAAATTAACCCATTAAAACCCTTAAAACCCCATCATCAGACCAGGTCAAGGGATTTGAAAAGCCAGGTTTTTAATTCCTGGTGGAAGGTGCGAAGGTCGGGCGCTAGTCGGAACTCCAAGGGGAGTTGATTCCAGAGGGTGGGCGCCCCAACCGAGAAGGCTCTACTTCTGGGGGCCACCAGCCGCGACTGTCTAGCCGACGGCACCCTGAGTAAGCCCTCTCTATGGGCGCGAACCGGGCGATGGGATGTTGTTGCTGGCTGTAGGTGGTCCGCCAAATATCCTGGTCCTAAGCCATATAGGGCTTTATAGGTCAACACCAGCACCTTGAATCTCACCCGGAGGGCAACCGGTAGCCAATGCAAACCGCGCAGGAGGGGTGTAACATGGGAGTATCGGGATTCTCCCATCACAACCCGCGCGGCTGCATTTTGCACCAGCTGAAGCCTCCGAGTGGTCCTCAAGGGCAGCCCCATGTAGAGAGTGTTGCAGTAGTCAATCCGTGAGGTGACCAGCGCATGAGTAACGTAATGTGCGTAGGGCATCTCGGTCCAAGTAGGGACGCAACTGGCGCACCAGACGTATATAGTTTATATCTAAATAAGTCTAGGACAATGGCAGTTTCTAAAGGCAAAATCCTAAAGTTGCTTATTTTAAAAGTCTGTATCTTCAATTATAAGAAATTTTTTGAGAGTTTTTGCTAAAAATAAAACAGTCACCTTCGAAACCAATGCAATTCTTTTTTGCTTTATACTGTTTTCTAATAACAAAAATGTATCGGCTACTTTGTGTTGGAATTACTGGCTACATTCACATGACATTTTGGTCCAGGATTAATTTACCCAACTTCATTTACTCAATGAATCCAATTTTGTGGTCTGATACATTAGCTAAAATGTGGTCAGTAAATGTTGTGGATCAATGTGCTGTGTAAATGTAGAGTCCTCCTTGATGAGTTGACTGGATCTAAACAAGCCACTCAGTATTAGAAGGAAAAGTTTTCGTACTATAAAATGGAATGCTTACACATTCCCAAGGTTTTTTTGTCCATGGTAAATTCATTCTCAACTTTAGTAAGATTTATAGGAAAACAGCATTAGATTAAAAGTATGCCTTGCTTATTCCATATATATATACAACATACAGTACAAATTTTGTAATGATACAAAAATGAAAACTTGTGCATTGTGTCAACACAAATCCTGGCCTTCTGTACTATCCTAGCAGAAGTATGTTAGTCATGGCACGTCAATGAAATGCCATGACAGACATTTTGCTATGGATGCCTATACAAACACATGCAATATTTTCGTTAATTTATTTTTAAAAAATTACCTGAGTCTGGTGAATGGGAATCAAGTCCTAGAAAGAGTAAATACTAAAGTTAATATATGGGAAGTTTGATTAGGATTCTTACAACTTGTTTTAGTCTCTGAAATTCAGGGAAGTTTACTTACCAAACGTACACTTTAAAAAATATTATAATTTGAAATATCTATTTTGGGAACAATGTTCGCTGAACTCAGTGAGTTGTACATGAAAATAACCAGTACAATATAACTTCTTTTGATGATTTTTATTTTTGCTTGGTCCAAACTTGGTTCATATATATCCTAATCCACTTGTCAGTTCACATACAAAACTGAGCCATCAACCAAGGTTTAACTACCTCCATTGTGGCAGGAGTAATAATATTGATGTCTGTCTAAAAAATTACCCATTACTCCTACGATATTTTAAACACTAATATTTATTATACTTCTATTTCAAAATCCAAACTACAAAAAAAAAAAAAAGTACATGAGATCCAGCAATGTTTTGAGGGACACTCATGAAAAACAAAAGAATAAATGATCCAGAACAATGTTTATCAAACCTCAGCAACTTATCAGCCAGAGAATTCTGGGAGTTGAAGTCTATACATCTTAAAGTTGCTGAGTTCGAGAAACGCTGAAAAAGTTGCTGAGGTTGAGAAACGCTGAGCTAGAAGCTCTTTCCATTTTCATTGACAGTATTTTGGCAAGATCACACTTAATCTGTAATATCTTTCTCTGTATAAATCATTTTATTTTAATTTAAAAATTAACAGCATGATTATTCAAAAGATGTATTTAAAACATTTGACAGATAATTTAGTAATCAAGTTAAAAAAAGCCACAATAGCTGTGGAAATTAACCCCTCTAAAGCAGCTGAACAATAAGGCTTATGTACTAAAAGCATTGTGTTTTCTCAATGCTATAATGTCTTTAGCACACACTGATTTATTGGAATTACTCTTCCCTTCTGGTGCCTATGCACAGTTTAAGACACTACAAGAACAGTAACTCAATACTTGTGGCCCTATTCAATTATACTCAGAATTACAATTAATCTTCTAATATGATTCATCTCATATAATTCATCTGATTAAATTCTCTGGGCTACTATCAAATGCATTTATTTTTTTAAAAAAGCATTTAACTCAGGATTGTTTCTGAATGTTTGTAACAAAATGACTCCACATATGGCTTTTGCCATTTTGCTCTCACATTTTTTTCATTTTTCATTTTTAAATGTTGACAGTTTTGTGACAACATTTGGCTAAGGGTTGGATTTAATTGCTAAAAGCTGTTAATATCTGAAATCTAGTTTATGATTTCTATCAGCCAGAGGAAAAACCTTTCAATCCAATGTTCTAAAGGGCACTGAGAAAATGACAAATGTTACACTGTTTTCAGCTAGGTGAAATTGTTGAAGCCTGAAAGCTACTTCCTAGTTTTGCCCTATTATCTTCTACTCTTTTTCAATAAGGAATTGCAAACAGTGTGCTTTTTACCTGAGCAAAGATAAATTATAAAGTAGAAAAAAAATAAAGACAGCATTTTACTTCAGCACACAAATTTGGAGAGGGGGCATGTTACTAATTTGGTACAGTTGACCTTAAACCAGTTTGTTTATTAAAATATTACAATGCCCTTGTTTTTCTATTGTCATGGGCAATACTGGATCCTGGCATGGGTAAATGGCATGGGTTTCTCTTTTTGCCTGAGTGGGAGATCCTCACAGAAGTCTAATTAGAGACTCTGCTAGCATAATTCCTTAAAATTGCTTGGGGCAAAGCAGAATTACAGTTCAATCAATGGTTCAGCATGATTAGTAAGTATCATTGCTGAACTGCTTCTGTTGAAGATTCAAGGAAGCCTCTACATTACAGATGTTCAACCTATGGCCTTAGTACCTCACACGAGCCATCAAAATAGCATATGTGCAGTTCACAGCCCTTACCAAAGTTGTAGTAGAATTGAATGTTTAATAATATAAAGAATCATTATCTATAATGGAATAATTGATAATAACTGAATTCAGTTCATTTTGTTTAATAGATGTAGTCCTTATTTAATGACTGCCTTGATTAGTGACCATTTGCAGTTGTGACTGTGATAAAAAATTAACTTTGCAACCAATCCCTGCATTTATGATTTTCAAAGGTCTGTAAAGCAAAGGAAAGCTAAAGGAAGAGAGTAAACACAGTAGCAGTTTCACTTAGTGACTGCTTTGCTTAACAACTGAGTTGCCAGTCCAGTTGTGGTTGCTGAACAAAGACTATTTGTATTAATTACATCTAATTTTCATTTAAATATAATCAAATGTCACATTTATTCTGGACATTTGTGCTTGCTTTTATTTCTGGCTAACATTTATTTTCTGAAATAACAGTCTACCTTTGAGTAAAGTAGGTCAATCCAGAATTTCTTTTCATTGTTTAGATGTGTGGATGGTGCATATTCTCATGTGCTCAAAGACTAATATTTCGTATAAATACTTGGAATGTATACAAGCTCTACTACTATGTTTAGGACTACATTAAAACATCTGTGCTTCTGGTTTATCTCTATTCTGCATTTCCTATACCAGTGATAGCCTGAAGTTTCATATATTTGCAATACAAATGTCACAATTCTTTGTCATTATATATGCTAGTAGGTGCTAAGTCTAAAATATATATATCAGACTGCTTAGTATTAATAATTAGAACAAACACACTAAACAATGATTAAATGACAGGCTCATCACAATAATAATTGTGAGGATCTGTGATTACCATTTTCAATATTCAGTTCTAACACACAACTGTATAAAAGACAACACAATGATACTGAAGTGTGGCATTCCATGGTTAACAGCTATACCTGCGGTCAAAAGGTTTGGAGAACTTTGAACTCTCTTCACCGCTGTTAATTTGACAGACATGGCAGCACGTTTGCGAGCACACCCACCACTATCTGAAAGCAGAAAAGGACACAGGCACAAGCCCACGACGTAGAACGCAAGCACATGCAATGTACAAAGTGAGGATTACTGAGATATGTAAATGTGGACATAAATCCATGCAGTTAGAATTTGTGGTTGATCCCTAGATACTTGTACATACGTACCAAAAGGTTGAGGAAGCTGTTGTTAATTAATACTGCCATTCCAAAGAATACACCAGCCAAAGAGATTTAGCATGTGCTTTCCAGTATTTGAAAAATCACTTGGGTGTACCTAACTCACCACAAAAATAAAAAGACTAAAATGCAGGATTAAAAATAACACATCAAAATAAGAAACTAATCATAACTCAGAACTAGAAAGTAGTATGTGGCCATCACTGAATATCTTATTAATTGCCCAGAGTTATTGTGTGACAGGCTAGGTGGCTAATAAATTTTACAAATAAAAAAAACCAAGTAAGTATAATATTGATTCAGATTATTAAAATGATAATCTGAACTATTTACTGAAGGCAGAAATACATGGACAAGTAATATTTTGCCTTCATCTAACAATCTTCCTGTTCCATCAGAAAGAAAAAAGAAGCCATTTAACATTAATTTCCCTTTTGGTGGTTGGGAGGGGGCATACTTGGTATTTATACATAGAAGAATTACAAGGGACAAGGTGAAAATGGGTACAGCTGCTTTTTTAATCCCCCCCCTGGATTTTTGGAAACAAGTTTAGGTTTTCTCATTTTAAGAAAAACACAGCTTATTTTAGAAACACTACAACCTTTGCCTAAATTGCGAGAAACAGTTATGACTCTGGGCTGCTGCAAATTCTGAAGGGCTGTAACTATTCCTAATTTACAGTACTTTATGGGGGATGTGATAATGCTAGAATTTGGATGTGAGCAAATGCCCCTTTAGTTCTTCTTCAGAAAGTGCAATGAAATTTCTCACCAGGGATTATGAACTACTTAACAGAAACAAATGTGGCAGAAAGTGCTGGCTGTAATTGGAGAAACTGTGGGAAAGAATTTTCCCAGTCAAAATTTACTGGAGGATTTATGCATGGAAAGATTTTTTTAATCTTGGAGATTTTGCATTTACAAACTGACTTTAAATCTTGAACTTAACTCCCCTCCCCCTCCCCCTTTTGGGAACTATTATTTCCCCCACCCACCCATCCCAAAAAATTAAGCAGTTGATCAGTTTAAACAGGCATACAAAAGCATAGTTGTCAATCTGCCTGCTGTTTATTTAGATGCTGGCATAAGTTTTAAAAGACCTAAAGATGAGTTGAAAATAATAGAAACCTTCAAACTAAGAATGATCAGGTAACACTAGCAAAGATCATGCCAACACATCTTGAATAAAATTTTATGACTTAATATAAAAGAAAAGGGGCAAGGAAGAGTCCAGTGAGGAAAGTAAATCAAAGCAACAGACCAATCCTAGCTACATTATTATCCTCAGTCAACTTGGAATTTAGGGCATATTGCCCAATATGATATTGTATGACTTATTCTGGTGTCCTTCAGGCATGTACCTGAAGGCTGCATTTGTACAAGAAAGCTATAATTGTACAACAATTACAATTCACCTGCCAGAGTAGTCCAACAAATCTAGATCACTGCTCTAATAAGATCCTTTTCTTCCCTTCCAAGTTAATTTCATTTTTTTAATTCTGTCAATTCTTGTGTATATTTGCTTTGCTTTAGGTGAACAAAAATAAACAGGAAACTCATCCCATGTGCCTGAAATGCAGGAATGTTTCATTTATTGCAAGGAACTTTGTGAGTTGTAAAATCAGGATTGGCAGTGTCCTTCCCTCTGTGTTGGCTTAGCCCACTAGGGAAGAATATAATTCTAGAAATGGTAGAGTTAGAAAACTTTCTTAGAGAGGGCAGTAAAGGACTGTGGAGCGGTATATAAGTCTAAATACTATTGTTATTGCTATTATACCGGTATGTAGTATAGGCATTCAAACCCATTTGACATTTTGATCTAGGGTCTTTTGCATGCATAGTCCTTTTTTTGTAGAAACACAAAGAGTGAACCAGGACATCTAACCACAGGTGGACTTATATTTTGTATGCTTGGTGATTTTATTACAAGGACAAATTCTGAATTTAATTTGCAATGATTAGAAATATATTACAAATACTCTGTGATTTGGAACTTGTGCTTCCCATATACTTCATGGTAAAACCAACAGCTGGATTACTCAGCCATTAATAGTGCATACGGAGAAGATAATTGCATGGGGCATGGCTACTGCATTTAAAAGAAATCCAGTTTGGTTGATTAAATTGTTTATATGATGGCATGCAAACATTCAAAATCAAAGAAAGCCTAGAAGATTCTGATTATCCATCCCAGGAAAGAATAAAATAGCAGGTATTGGAAATAATAATTCTGAGTGTCTAGGACATGCTATCCTAAGCTTAGGAACTGTTCTCAAAACAAACTGTTTATTCAGCATTGCATATAACATGTAGCTTATTTTGATGTGTTTTGAGAGCATAGACGATAAATGGTAACAATTCTGCATGATGTTGATTTAATATTAACAAAGTTAAACCTCATATATTTTTGCACTCTCCAAGGACTGTAATTGTTTTTAACCAGGTTTGTATTTATGTCTTTCATTTATTATAAAGCAGTTGGGTTATTAAATCATTTTTAACTGAGATGCATTTATCACAATATTATGCTTGTACATTCGTGCCTAAAATTTATGGAGGGACACTAAAAATCCATTTAAGCAAATTAACTTTGGGCCATTCATTATCTATGTGAGAAAAAGGGTTGCATATACACAGTCTGCCCAAATTATTTGAAATGTTATGTTCTTAGAAGGAATTTGGATAAGTGGAAAGCTTGGTCTACCCAGCCACTTAAATCCACTTTAAATTAATGCACTTGGATTTAAACTGTTTAATCTCATTAAAGTTAAAGACAAGAATTCTTTCTATGTCTGGTGAGAGAATGTTTATTTATAGATTGTGGATGTGTGTTATCTCTGCTGTGCAAGTAGCATTCTAGGGATTTTTAAAATCAGCTTTTAAAATCTCTAAGAGTGGTTTGTTCTACTATGGAATGGAAGAAGCAATTATGTACAGTTTTTTAATGAATAAAATATTTTTGTTCTGGAATCCAGAGAAAGGAGGCTGAATTCTCAAATTTTTGCTAATTGGTTGAGGAATTCAGATCTGCAATTGAATAATTTACATTAAGCCTTTTTGGGATATTCCTTGAGTATGCATAAATAGTTGATAATTATTTTATATAAAATAACTATTTTAGAATCAAATTATTGATATGCCTATAGTGTTTGTAAAATACAATGATTCAAAAAAGTATCTATCCATAAAAAATGAATATGATTCACCTACTTGATAAATCTGGATATACAGCTGTGCATGAATCTTGCTTTGATCATAACATTGTATATTACCCACTGTACACATTTTATCCTGGGCAATAGGAAAAGTGAGTGTTTCATTCTGCCTTAAATGAACAGTAACAGGCTTGCTCAGGTGCTTCGTAACTGGAGCAACAGCTCAAATAAAGGTTGGCATATGCTGAAAAGATGTTAGATGCTAGGTCAATGTTTAATGATAATGGCACTGAAATCAAACCACCTGAATGTTATTGGACTGGGTGTGTCAAATTTTTCAGCTTTCAATTTCCAAACATCAGGGGTGCTCAAAAGTTGTGACATGCCTTGGTGAATGTAAAGATAGTTTGTTTACTTTAATATAATTTAGATGTGCTTGGTAAGAACCGGTAGTAAAACTGGCAGGAGGCTCCGCCCACCGATGTCATCATAGGCGATCTGCGCATACGCAGAAGCTTGGCGCACATGTTACCCTGTTGCGAACCGGTAGTAAAGATAAGTAGAACCCACCCCTGACTTGGTTACAAATTTATTATTTTCTTTCCACTTCTCCTTACTGACTGTGATAGAGAGGAGGGCAAAAAGAGCTATGCTTTGTGGGAGGGGGTTATGGCCAGGATATTTGGATCTATTCTCTGCAGTGATCTATACAGTCCCGTCAAAATTTACTTCTGGCAGCTGATAGAGATCAGATTCTTGAAAGAGTTCTTTAGAGAGGCAAGAAACTGACCATTTATTCTCTTTGCTGGTTTTATGATTAGATTAAAACAATGTTTCTCAGCCTTGGCAGCTTGAAGATATGTGGACTTCAACTCCCAGAATTCCTCAGCCAACCTTGCTGGGTTCTGGGAGTTGAACTCCACGCATCTTCAAGCTACCAAGATTGAGAAACATTGCATTAGATTATTAAATTATGTTTGATATTGTTTGTACTGCATTATTATTCACTTAAGTTGCAGAATTTATACTATCCAGAATAAAGGTACATGGGTATAAAAAAAGGATGTATGTGGACTTCTGGTTGACGTGGTGGCAAGAATGGCTTGAAAAATAGCGGGCTCCACCAAGCCCCACAAAATCCAGCCGGCAACTGCTGTGGGGAGAATCTATGGGGTCAAAGCTGCCTTGTAGGGGCGGCGAAAAAAGGAGAGGCGCTTCGTGGACCATGGCGAACTCACAATTTCCTCATTAGGTCCAAAGCAAGCTCTCTTGATTGGCAGCAGGGACAATGGCCATTTTTGGCTAGTCACAAGCTGGGACAACCGGGACTATAAGATTTCTGCTGGAGTGGTCCTGGACAGAGCATTGAAGCTGGGTGAGATAACTTCCAACTCCTACTCTAAAGACTTAAGTACAAGAATTTCAAAAAATAATCTCCAAGTGTTAAAGAAGCGGCGATTAAACACACGGAGAAGACTAAAGACCGAAAATTAAGAGGCGAAAGAAATGCCCAAAGGAAGCTTTAAAATATAGAAAACCTGGAAAAAAGCTTAAACAATCTGAAAGGTGATTTTTGGGAGAAAATGTCTTTCTTATTTGTATCTTTAAACCCCCTGGACTTATTGGATAATCAGCTGTTGTTGACATACTGTTTAATGTTGGAATTTGGAGCAGGAGAGCCATCTACTGGAAGAAGAGAAGCACTACAGTATGAGAACTTTTAATGAAAGTAAGGAATGTCTAATACACATAACAGTAGAAAGTAAACAACACCTGGAAGACGGCTTGACCTTGATTCTTTTAGAAGACGATTGGATATTTTGAAATACTTAGTGAGTTTCTTTTCTTTTTTGAAGATTTTTAAGATGAACTAAATTGCAAATTTAAATTGCAAATAACTAAACTCTATTGAAACTGGTTATTGGATTGTGGATTTGAAAGATTGGAGGAAACCTAGTAGATTAATTTGGATTTGGATTATTATTGCTATTTGATAGAACACTCTACGAAGCCAAAGAAGAAAGGTGATAGAAGAAAAGAGAAAAGAAGAAAAATAAAACTTTAAAATTTGGACAATTGGGAAGACAAATAACTGGAAAATCAAAAGGCTATAAAATACTAAAGAACTTTAAAGATTATAAATTTAGGGGATTTGGAGGTTTAACTATGGGATTGACTAAATCTTATTAATAACAGGCTCTGTTGGAGCTTTTAAATATTGAGATGTTGGAACCATAGAGGTATATTGAGTAATTTTTATCAAATTGTTACACAATGGATTACCAGGGGATATAAAGAAATAATTTTGATGCTCAAAAGCATGCTTTAAACAATCAAGAACAATAAGGAGACAAGGTGATTGTCTAAAAATAAAGAAATTAGAGTAGAAGCCGCTCAACAACTGGGGGAAAAAGATGAACATGATATTCAGAAAATAGATGAGAAATTAGAAGAAGCAGTGGAAGAGAAAAATCAAAATGAGATGCAAGAAGACAAAGATAATGAAGAGAAAGGATTGATAAGTAGGAATCAAACAGATAATTCCTTAAAAGTTTATAATAAAACAGAGGAAAAAAAAGAAAAGTTTCTTCAAAAAAAAAAAAGAAAAAAAGAGGAAGATTTATGGATGGGTGCCCAAATGGTACAGCAGAAAGAGACAAAGGGCTGAAGGGAATACTCAGTGGGTATAAAAATATCAAAAAAAGTTATAAAATTCCAAGAGAGAGAAATAAAAGGGTGATTAAAAAGTCAACAAATTATGGTACTTCAAAAAGGGTTAAGAGGTGATGGATAGTGATAAAATATATTAATAAAATGAAAAAGTAAAAAATACAAATTGGGAAAATAGTAGCATATATACTAACAGATAATAGAATTTATTATAATTAAAAATAAACTAAGGTTAGAAGGTGGAAGTTTAGGATTAGGTAATCTAATTGTATTATTAATATTAACAGTATGTTAAAATATATTGTGAATTTAAACTTTTAAGGATTAGAATTTGTGGAGATTTTAAGATATAATCCCGGGATTGATTAAATTTTGTTAATATTTGGCCTTATTAGTAGTTCTAGATATTTGGGATATTGAAATTATGGTGGAATAATGAGTTTAAAAATATTAAATATTAGTGACAGTAGAGGATAACAAATACATGGTGCAAAGAAATGTTATTTAGGAATAAATGAATTAATGGGGGGAAATGATAAGAGAATTATAAAGAGAAAATGGTATTGTTGAAGTTGGAAGATTAGGATTATGCATTATTATTGTATAATAATAATTATATTGTTAGCATTGCTTAAAAAGGACATTGACCCAGTCAATACACTGTCCACAAAATATGTATGGTGTGAAAGGAAAACTGCAAATGAAACATAAATTTTTAAAAAATGTATGTGGTCATCAGTAGCCATCACAGAAATTGCTATCTGACAGGTTTTAATTTTTCTTTTCTTTTCTTGACCCTGTAATCCCTTTATTCAGAGTCTGGGTGACGGAATGGAGCTGAACATTTACTGGGCCGGATAGCCTTCCTGACGCCTACATGGAGATCACAGCAGCTATTTTGTCTTTGTGCCCTGAGAGAGAAACATCTGTTGATGCCTAGGATTGAGCTCTCAACCTTCCAAATGGGAGGCAAACACCTTCACCACTAGACCATCATGATGCTCAAGAGGTTTTAAATATAATTTTCCAAAATGCAATAATGTAAGGCATATATAATTTAACTCACATCTATAAATATAAAATACTCCAGTAGATGAATTTAAACAAAATAAGTAAGCAATAATTAAATCATTGTAAAAGTAAATGGTTCGCCATTAAAGAAAAAAACCTATCTTGATTTATGCCACTGTGCATGGATATGTTCTTTGCCCCAATATATTTTACTAAATATCTGAAAATATATTGAAATGAAATGCAGATGCTTATTTACATATGCATGTATAAATGCATATATTTGTACATAACAGTGTGTCTAGAGAAATATACATCAGAACTTCATATGCACACATATAAGAAAGAAAAAATATTAGCAAAAAGTTCTTCAAAACATCTGTAACTTGCATTAAACAATATGGTCATTTTTTGCACCATGAAAATGCATACCTGTGTTCATTGTGATTCTGGGAGGTTTGCTACTGAAGTCTTCAGCTTGCCTAGAGAAAATAAAGGCAATCTGTTCATTATCACAATGCAATAGAACATGAGATAAAGATCTTTTGAGTAAGCAGAGAAGAAAATAAAATAGTGGTATTGAGGTTGTATGTGTTTCAAAAATGATTTCTTTCAGGAGGAGCAAAAAGAAATTATTTTAGATGCAGTGGGTGGCTGAAGACTGCTAGAAGGTGTCTGTTCTTTCTTTGTACAATCTCCTCCTCGTGGTCTCTAGTCTTCCTAACTTCTCACCCTTCAATTTAATTTAAAGAGAAAATTTCATGAGGGAACTGCTCCCATTTGGGCTTTTTCAAATCAAAAGCATCAGCAGCAGGGAGGCTGCAGAGAGATGGGGTTATTGGCTACATAAAAACCACAACACCAGCATTGTTCCCCACTTTTGAACAGAAATTAAGCCACCCAAATCACAAAAAAGAATTTGAAAGAAATGAACAGTCTAAATGATGAAGGGAAAAAAAAAGACTTTGGGCACAGTGGTGGAAGCTGGAGAACAATTTCAGATGATTAATTCCATACCATTTTCCCCATTAGTTCTGTGCTGTATCTGAACACACTTATTAGAGAAGGGAAATAATACTCAGAAATCTGTTTAGGATTGCCTATGTCCAAATTCACATCCCTAAACAAACTTAAATTCTTTTTAAAGCAAGTATTGGTGTGGTGATAGACATAATGTTTGTCTGTCTATGCATCCATTTTAAGATGGCAGCTACACTCTTTTTTACGTTTTCTTACAAAGATTCAATTTGGACCTTTTGCGTGCCTGTAGCCTGCAAAAAAATTCCAAGATATTTAAAGGACTGAACCTATTAAATAACAATGCTAATAACCTGCTAATTCACCATCTATGTTTCTATCTAGGGGAATCATTTTGAGAAAAATGTATTTTTTATTTTTTGAAATAAATATGTTATTATCAGGGCAATAGGAAATAGTTGAGGTTAATGCCCTCCTCAGTCCTGTAGGTGAAGATGTGATAATCACTACATCATCAGACTATAAAAATAAAACAATAGGTCTGCCAGTCCAAATAATGTTCAGGATTTGTGAGTTTTTGTACCATATTATAAAGATTAAGTAGAAAAGGAGCTAAAATACACAGCTGTTAAACATTCTGGGAACTAGGCAGCGCAGCAGAAAGCTGACTTTGTTTGGATGTGGGTATTATTGTGTAACAATATAATAAGACCCAGCAGACGCCATACAATGGACGGGTCTTCAATTTGTCCCATAATGGTTCTCTAGAATCAGACTCAAGAGCTGTTTCGAGTTACTGAGCTCTTCTGGAGACTGGTAGGTATTTTGATGCCTAGATCAAGTGACTTCAAATATATCTTTTGAGCTTTTCTTTTCTTCTTTTTCAGTAAAGTTTTGTACTTCCTTTTTTGTTTTTCATGAAGAAATTCGAGAATAATAGGCAGTTGTTATTCTTATACAACCCAGGGGTTTTTCATTGTTTTTTTGCACATTTCTCATCCAACCATGATTTGGATCTTGTTTTTTTATTGTTAGAACCCCATTTGGTTTTATAAATTAGTGCTTCTTTAAATGTGGTAATGAGTATACAATACTGTGTGTAAATGTACAGAAGGCAGAAACAGAGAAGTTTTCTTTTACAAATAGGGCCAGTAGGTGGTTTTACAAGATATAAAGCACATTTTCTTTCATGCACTCATACACAATTCTGAATCTAGTTAATACATAGTTGTTTTCCTACTGACGCTGTGAGAATTAACTGCTGCTGAAGCAATGACTTCAACATAGTTAAAATCTCTGGGAATGAGGAATGCTGAATCAGGCCCCAGATGGAGTCTGCCAGATACTTAACATACACTGAAAGCAAATTATAAATACATTAATCCAAGAAGCTGGAAAGCTTTCAGGTTCTGTGGTATTTCTTTGAGGGACTTGATGCTCCATGGCATTCAAAATACATACAAATATATAAACAGGAAACACAGCATGAAATAGCATTAATGGTTTATCTATCTATCTATCTATCTATCTATCTATCTATCTATCTATCTATCTATCTATCTATCTGGATATATTAAAGATTACAGCCACGTAACTCGGTAAGTACTGTTTTATGTACTGCTTAAATATTCTCTCAACCACTAGGTCTTCTGATGTTCCAGTATGTTGCCCATTTTTGGGGGTGGGAAAAAAATCACCTCTATTTTTTTAAAATCCCAACAACCCAAAGAAAACAATTGAACCTAAACAAAAATTCAAATCACTTTAATAACACTGATAAAAAGGTTCTTTTCAGAAACCACTGAGCATAACAAGATGAATAATAAATTAAAGGACAATTGCAGGGATAAAGGGATTGACTTATCTTTTTGAAATTCTGAATAAAACCATCTTGCAATTAATGACTCAGAATTCTATGTGGATGATTCAAAGATTATACTGACTCCAGGTTGTTTTGTTCAGTTTCAATAAACTGGCTTTGGTTGTAACATTGGTTTTCAAAACAGCCCACAAATTATTCCTGAAAATGGCAGATTCCAGAAAGCATTGCTTGCTGCTATAGGAGACAGCATTTTCAAATGTTCTTATAGCCGGGAACTGAACAAACAGTAGCACTTGAAAGCAAACTGTACAATGCTACACTACACACTAAGCTTTAAAATGATATTCTGAGGCCAAAACTCTGCACAGAAATAGGTTAGCAGGATTTTTACTCAGAGCTTCAACTTGTTGTCATAAATATTAATAGCACCCATCTAGCCACTGCTTAAATTAGGGACTTCATCATATCTTGTAAAACAGAATGTAGCCATCAGATCCCAGTATAATAAATATACTGAATATAAGTAAAATAAAATGGGAAAAAACTTAAAGAGAGTTGGGGGAAATGATTTGCTGATATTGGAATGTAACATCAAAGAAACAGGCCAAGCCAAGAATCTGGGAGCAAGCCATTTTATAATGGCTTGCAAATTATTTCCCAAGGCAAACTAAAATAATCAGATTGGCCTGTGGATATTTTAGTCAACATAAAATCCTGAAGGGTCACAAATAATGTGAGATGTGTGTATGTTCTAATTTACCCCATTACTTTATAAAGTAATGGGGTAAATTATGATTTAATTTAAATATAATTTACCCCATAATTTAATCATGATTTAATTCTCTCAACCTCAATGCAGACTCTGGGGTACATCATGGAATGTTATCAAATATGAAAGCTCCTTCAATTATATACCACACACCAATAGTTCCAAGGCAGGCTAGACAGAGAAATAAGCCTGCCATCCCATCCTAACCTTACCAATGGAGATGCTGATTCCAGACTTAAAATTAAATTGTTGCTTCACTGGAATGACCCATGGTTTACATTTTATGAAAATACAAGTACAAGTGAATACTGCTAAGAATGTTTCCTTTCCATTTTGTCCTAAACCACTAAGATATCTTTATGTCACCAAGTGTGTCTCAAGTCACTGCATGACAAAGTCATCCTTAAAAGGTTTGGTGCTGTTATTTTCTTTTCACTAAAAGGCACGCTGTAATTGGTTGAAAAAACATCTGACCAGCAAAAGGTACTGTAACAATTTGATCCTTGACCTTCTGTACTAAAGCGGCAAATCCTGTCTCTTAATTTTTCCTCCCCCTCCCCTACTGTTGCCCTGTGCTCAAGATGTGCCTTAAACATCTTTAAGATTCAAAACATTTTTTTTTCTGAAAATGAAAACAGGTTCAAGTGTCAAATCAAAGACATCAAAAAAGGCATACAAGCTGACAGGTTAATGTATAAATTTAATGGGATGTTTTTATAGTTGCAAAGGCAGCCTTTTGCAAGATGTAATAATAAACAGGATACTTTGATACCTTCAGTTTACTCAACAAATTAAGGTTTATATAGCTATGCATTTTTATGGTTTCAAAATTAAATAAAAAGAAAGTGAATGTTGAATAAGAACTTTTCTTATGAAATTTGATTCATACAAAATGCTTGTTCATACTGCCATGTTTGTGTTCATTGCCCAAAATAAATTAGACAGCCCCCCCCCCTCCTCCCTGTGCACAAGAAAGCAGTGTAGAATCCAAGCTATCTTTTAAAAGGGTCTGGCACATCCCCAGTGTCACCAATTAAGTAACCCCAGAACTCATTATGAGTTACAGTATGCACACACTCTAAAATAAAGGAAATAAAGACTTCATATTTCTAGAAAGACGTTTATGGTTTTATTTTAGAGATACAGTACAGTTGTTAAGTATTTTTCATCTGAAAAATGGTAGTGAACTGATATTTAGTGGAACTACTGGCGGATCTCTGAGGGCCAGGTAACTGGCAGATAATTCACTTCTGATTCACAGCATGAAATGCATGCAATGGGGTCTTTTGAGCCTACAATGTATTAAAATGCTTTGTAGTGAGTTTTAATTGTCTAATGCCCCCTTCCAGGGGTTGTTGTAAAGCCCTAGAGTGCTGCTATGTATAAGCTGTAATAGTTCCAGTGTTAAACAGAAAAGTCATTCTCAGTACTATGTTTTGGGTTTTGTTACCTGACAAACTGGTAGATGCCACAGGGCTTAGACTAGGTGCCTTGGTGATTAAATACCGATACCCTACTCAACATGCAAAGCTAATATGTGCCAAGTGGTTACCAGGAGCAAGTTTATGAGAATAAAAGATGGGTTGTTTATTCCAAATACTGTCAAGCAACAGAAACAGGAAGCACTTAGCTGCTGAAGTGAAACTGGGATAAGATCCAATTCTGACTTTATAGACATATAAACCGTTGCATGGGTGTGTCACTGTCCACAGCAACATTCTCAGAATTCTACTTCACTCTAGACATCTTAGTAGTGGAATATTACAGTTCTGAAAAGTTAAAGTTTATAATTAATCTCCGTACTTGTAAAGACTGCCCATGTCCCAAGTCAAATTTTACTTTAGAATCACCTCTTATATAGAAGTACCACATCTCTGATACAACAAGAATTAGGCTAGATGATATGCTGTTTT